TTCATCTTTGGGCTGTTGTAGGTTTTTTCGGGCTATATGGCCATGGTCTAGAGGCATTCTCTCCTGACGTTTCCCCTGCATCTATGGCAAGCATCCTCTTCATACTGGGTTGTTGTAGGTTTTTTCGGGCTATATGGCCATGGTCTAGAGGCATTCTCTCCTGACGTTTCTCCTGCATCTATGGCAAGCATCCTCAGAGGTAGTGAGGTTGTTGTAGGTTTTTTCGGGCTATATGGCCATGTTCTAGAGGCATTCTCTCCTGACGTTTCTCCTGCATCTATGGCAAGCATCCTCAGAGGTATTGGGTTGTTGTAGGTTTTTTCGGGCTATATGGCCATGTTTCTAGAGGCATTTCTCCTGACGTTTCACCTGCATCTATGGCAAGCATCCTCAGAGGTAGTGAGGTTGTTGGAATTAGGACAATGGGTTTATATATCTTCTCTCCTGACGTTTCTCCTGCATCTATGGCAAGCATCCTCAGAGGTAGTGAGGTTGTTGTAGGTTTTTTCGGGCTATATGGCCATGTTCTAGAGGCATTCTCTCCTGACGTTTCGCCTGCATCTGTGGCAAGCATCCTCAGAGGTAGTGAGGTTTGTTGGAAGTATCTGTAGATATATGGCCATGTTCTAGAAGCATTCTCTCCTGATGTTTTGCCTGCATCTATGGCAAGCATCCTCAGAGGTTGTGAGGGCTGTTGGAACTAGGAAAATTGGGTTTATATATCTGTGGAATGTCAAGGGTCAGGTGGAATCTCCTTCCCTTCCTGTAGTTTGAAGCCATTTCTCCATTGGGTTGTTGTAGGTTTTTTTGGGCTATATGCCAGTGTTCTAGAGGCATTCTCTCCTGACGTTTTGCCTGCATCTATGGCAAGCATCCTCAGAGGTAGTGAGGTTGTTGTAGGTTTTTTCGGGCTATATGGCCATGTTCTAGAGGCATTCTCTCCTGACGTTTCTCCTGCATCTATGGCAAGCATCCTCAGAGGTAGTGAGGTTCTTGTAGGTTTTTTCGGGCTATATGGCCATGTTCTAGAGGCATTCTCTCCTGACGTTTCTCCTGCATCTATGGCAAGCATCCTCAGGCGAGTAGGTTGTTGTAGGTTTTTTTCGGGCTATATGGCCATGTTCTAGAGGCATTCTCTCCTGACGTTTCGCCTGCATCTATGGCAAGCATCCTCAGAGGTATTCAGGTTGGGCTGTTGTAGTTTTTTCGGGCTGTATAGCCGTGTTCTAGAGGCATTCTTTCCTGACATTTCACCTGCATCTATGGCAAGCATCCTCAGAGGTAGTGAGGATCCTCTGAGGATGCTTGCCATAAATGCAGCGAAACGTCGCCTGCATCTATGGCAGCATCCTCAGAGGTAGTGAGTTCTTGTAGTTTTTTTCGGGCTATATGGCCATGTTCTAGAGGCATTTTCTTCTGACGTTTCGCCTGCATCTTTGGCAAGCATCCTCAGAGGTAGTGAGGTCTATTGGGACTAGTACATCCTGCATGTCAGATATTTACATTATATTGTGGCCAGAATCACTGAGTTGTTGTAGATTTTTTCGGGCTATATGGCCATGTTCTAGAGGCATTCTCTCCTGACGTTTCGCCTGCATCTATGGCAAGCATCCTCAGAGGTAGTGAGGTTGTTGTAGGTTTTTCGGGCTATATGGCCATATTCTAGAGGCATTTTCTCCTGAGGTTTCGCCTGCATCTATGGCAAGCATCCTCAGAGGTAGGTGAGGTTGTTGTAGGTTTTTTCGGGCTATATGGCCATGTTCTAGAGGCATTTCTCCTGAGGTTTCGCCTGCATCTATGGCAAGCATCCTCAGAGGTAGTGAGGTCTGTAGGTTTTTTCGGGCTATATGGCCATGTTCTAAGGCATTCTCTCCTGACGTTTCGCCTGCATCTATGGCAAGCATCCTATTGGTTGGGTTGTTGTAGTTTTTTCGGGCTATATGGCCATGTTCTAGAGGCATTCTCTCCTGACTTTCGCCTGCATCTATGGCAAGCATCCTCAGAGGTAGTGAGGTCTGTTGTAGGTTTTTTTGGGCTATATGGCCATGTTCTAGAGGCATTCCCTCCTGACGTTTCGCCTGCATCTATGGCAAGCGTCCTTCATGGCCGGAATCACTGGGTTGTTGTAGGTTTTTCCGGGCTATATGGCCATGCTCTAGAGGCATTCCCTCCTGACATTTCGCCTGCATCTAGGGCAATCATCCTCAGAGGTAGTGAGGTCTGTTGGAACTAGGTTTTTTCGGGCTATATGGCCATGTTCTAGAGGCATTCTCTCCTGACGTTTCGCCTGCATCTATGGCAAGCATCCTCCGAGGTAGTGAGGTTGTTGTAGGTTTTTTCGGGCTATATGGCCATGTTCTAGAGGCATTCTCTCCTGACGTTTCGCCTGCATCTATGGCAAGCATCCTCAGAAGTAGTGAGGTTGTTGTAGGTTTTTTCGAGCTATATGGCCATGGTCTAGAGGCATTCTCTCCTGACGTTTCGCCTGCATCTATGGCAAGCATCCTCAGAGGTAGTGAGGTTGTTGTAGGTTTTTTCGGGCTATATGGCCATGTTCTAGAGGCATTCTCTCCTGATTTTAGTGCTTTGTCGAAGGCATTCATGGCCGGAATCACTGGGTTGTTGGACGTTTTTTTCGGGCTATATAGCCAAGGTCTAGAGGCATTCTCTCCTGATGTTTCGCCTGCACCTATGGCAAGCATCCTCAGAGGTAGTGAGGTCTGTTGGAATTTTTGGGCTATATGGCCATGGTCTAGAGGCATTCTCTCCTGACTTTTCTCCTGCATCTATGGCAAGCATCCTCAGAGGTAGTGAGGTCTGTTGGAACTAGGTAGGTTTTTTCGGGCTATATGGCCATGTTCTACAGGCATTCTCTCCTGACGTTTCGCCTGCATCATGGCTGGAATCACTGGGTTGTTGTAGGGTTTTTCGGGCTATATGGCCATGGTCTAGAGGCATTCTCTCTCCTGACGTTTCGCCTGCATCTATGGCAAGCATCCTCAGAGGTAGTGAGGTCTGTTGGAACTAGGAAAATGGGTTTATATATCTATGGCATGGGGAAGAGAGTCATTTCGCCTGCATCTATGGCAAGCATTGGGTTGTTGTAAGTTTTTTCTGGCTATATGGCCATGTTCTAGAGGCATTCTCTCCTGACGTTTCGCCTGCATCTATTCATGGCTGGAATCACTGGGTTGTTGTAGTTTTTTTGGGGGGGGGGCTATATGGCCATGTTCTAGAGACATTCTCTCCTGACGTTTCACCTGCATCTATGGCAAGCATCCTCAGAGGTAGTGAGTGTTGGAACTATGTATGGCCATGTTGTAGAGGCATTCTCTCCGGATTTCTCCTGTCCAAAGGCTTTCATGGTCAGAGTCACTGGGTTGTTGTAGGTTTTTTCGGGCTATATGGCCATGGTTCTAGAGGCATTCTCTCCTGACTGTTTCGCCTGCATCTATGGCAAGCATCCTCAAAGATAGTGAGGTCTTGTAGGTTTTTTGCGCTATATGGCCATGTTCTAGAGGCATTTCTCCTACGTTTCGCCTGCATCTATGGCACATTCCCTCCCAGGGGTAGTGTAGTGTGTTGAGTTTTTTTCGGGCCTACGATGGCCTATGGTCCTAGAGGTATTCTCTCGTATTGTCGAGCTTTTATGGCTGGAATCACTGGGTTGTTGTAGGGTTTTTTTTTCGGGCTATATGGCCATGTTCTAGAGGCATTCTCTCCAACAGACCTCGCATCCTCAGAGGTAGTGAGGTTCTTGTAGGTTTTTTCGGGCTATATGGCCATGTTCTAGAGGCATTCTCTCCTGACGTTTCGCCTGCATCTATGGCAAGCATCCTCAGGGGTAGTGAGGTTGTTGTAGGTTTTTTCGGGCTATATGGCCATGGTCTAGAGGCAGTCTCTCCTGACGTTTCGCCTGCATCTATGGCAAGCATCCTCAGAGGTAGTGAGGTCTGTTGGAACTAGGTTTTATTTTAAAATATGTAGAATAGTCGCTTATTATTACTCCTGTATAGTCGAAGGCCTTCATGGCCGGAATCACTGGGTTGTTGTAGGTTTTTTCGGGCTATATGGCCATGGTCTAGAGCAGTGTTTCTCAACCTGGGGGTCGGGACCCCTGAGGGGGTCGCGAGGGGGTGTCAGAGGGGTCGCCAAAGACCATAAGAAAACACAGTATGGGGATTCCATGTGGGAAGTTTGAGCCAATTCTATCGTTGGTGTTCAGAATGTTCTTTGATTGTAATGAACTATAAATCCCAGCAACTACAACTCCCAAAAGTCAAGGTCTATTTTCCCCAGGCTCCACCAGTGTTCACATTTGGCATATTGAGTATTTGTGCCAAGTTTGGTCCAGATCCACCATTGCATGAGTCCACAGTGCTCTCTGGATATAGGTGAACTACAACTCCCAAACTCAAGGTCAATGCCCATCAAACCCTTCCAATGTTTTCCATTGGTCATGGGAGCCAAGTTTGGTTCAAATTCATCGCTGGTGGAGTACAGAATGCTCTTTGATTATAAGTGAACTATAAATCCAGCAACTACAACTCCCAAATTACAAAATCAATCCTCCCCCAACCCCACTAGCATTCACATTTGGGTGTATTGGGTATTTGTGCCCAGTTTGGTCCAGTGAATGAAAATGCATCCTGCATATCAGATATTTACATTATGATTTATAACAGTAGTAAAATGACTGTTATGAAGTAGCAATGAAAACAATATTATGGTTGGGGGTCACCACAACATGGGGGACTGTATTAAGGGGTCACGCCATTAGGAAGGTTGAGAACCACTGGTCTAGAGGCATTCTCTCCTGACATTTCGCCTGCATCTATGGCAAGCATCCTCAGAGGTGAGGTCTGCTGGAAATCACCTCTGAGGATGCTTGCCATAGATGCAGGCGAAACGTCAGGAGAAATGCCTCTAGAACATGGCCAAATAAATAATAAATAAATATCCTCAACTAACTGGACATTTGCCTCCTTTGGTTCCTGCAGGAGACTCTGGGGCCGGTTGCCGCACCGTCCAGAAGGGGAAGCATGCCTTCCGACCCAGTTTTCCAGCTTCCAGGTAAAAGGCGGGTCTTCTTCCCAGCCTCACCTGCTCCTGGCAGAGATCGGCTGGTCTTTGGGGCAGTTTGGTGCTGATGGCCACCTCAATGTACTGCCACCTGAGCCAGCGGCACCTGGGACAGGAGAGGAGGGGAGGACTACTGGTAGCCTCCTCCTTGTTGGTGGGGATGGGGGTGGGAACGGGGGGGGGGGGCGATGAGGACGCAGTTGCCTCTGGACTGTGGACAGACCGAGGGTCTCTCTGCCCACAGCCCCTACGTGACGACGGTCGGGGGGACCTCCTTCCAGCACCCCTTCCTGGTCAGCGCAGAGGTCTCCGACTACATCAGCGGTGGTGGCTTCAGCAACGTCTTCCCCATGCCGGACTACCAGGTGGGTCGTTTGCACCCAGAGCAGGCGTGGGCAAGCTTTGTTTTGGATTTCAACTCCCACAAATTGCCCATGCTTGCCTTGAAGGCATCTGCACCGTGTTGGACCCCCAGTACTCTTTCCTTCCCTTGCATGCTCATTTCCACTCTTGTCATCTCTGGGTCACAGCTGTCCCTGGCCAGAGAGAGCTGGAGACGGCTTGTGGTTGGGACTCTTCCCACTGTTTTTAATTGTGTGTTGACTTAGAATCATACAATCCAAGAGTTGGGAGAGACCTCCTGGGCCATCATCCAGTCCCCCCATTCTGCCAAGAAGCAGGAATATTGCATTCAAAGCACCCCTGACAGATGGCCATCCAGCCTCTTGTTTAAAAGCTTCCAAAGAAGGAGCCTCCACCACACTCTGGGCAGAGAGTTCCACTGCTGAACGGCTCTCACAGTCAGGAAGTTCTTCCTCATGTTCAGATGGAATCTCCTCTCTTGTAGTTTGAAGCCATTGTTCCGCGTCCTAGTCTCCAGGGAAGCAGAAAACAAGCTTGCTCCCTCCTCCCTGTGGCCTCCTCTCACATATTTATACATGGCTATCATATCTCCTCTCAGCCTTCTCTAAACATGCCCAGCTCCTTAAGCCGCTCCTCATAAGGCTTGTTCTCCAGACCCTTGATCATTTTCTCCCTATGACTTCCTCTCACATGTTTATACATGGTCATCATGTCTCCTCTCAGCCTTCTCTTCTTCAGGCTAAACATGCCCAGCTCTTTAAGCAAGCTCCTCATAGGGCTTGTTCTCCAGACCCTTGATCATTTTAGTCGCCCTGTGGCTTCCTCTCACATATTTATACATGGCTATCATATCTCCTCTCAGCCTTCTCTTCTTCAGGCTAAACATGCCCAGTTCCCTAAGCCGCTCCGCATAGGGCTTGTTCTCCAGACCCTTGATCATTTTAGCCTGTGGCTTCCTCTCACATATTTATACATGGCTATCATATCTCCTCTCAACCTTCTCTTCCTCAGGCTAAACATGCCCAGCTCCTTAAGCCGCTCCTCATAGGGCTTGTTCTCCAGACCCTTGATCATTTTAGTCGCCCTGCTTCCTCTCACATATTTATACATGGCTCTCATCATGTCTCCTCTCAGCCTTCTGTTCTTCAGGCTAAACATGCCCAGCTCCTTAAGCCGCTCCTCATAGGGCTTGTTCTCCTTATTGATAATGTTATTCTTATTGATAAGGCTTGTTCTTCTTATTGATAATGTTGTATTTTTTATTGTTTATATTTTATTTTAATTGCTTGTACTGTTGTTGTTTGGTTTATATTGTTGTATTTGGGCTCGGCCTCATGTAAGCCGCACCGAGTCCCTTGGGGAGATGGTAGCGGGGTACAAATAAATTATTATTATTACTATTATTATTATTATTATTATGGCTGGAGTCAGGGGTAGCCCAGTCCCTGGGGGTTTGTAAACAAGAGGCTGGGCGGCTATCTATTAAGAGAGAGAGCTTCAATGTGACTTGGACAAAGGGAGCTGGACTGGGTGGACCTTCGGGTCTCCTCCAACTCTTTTGGGACCGGGGTCTGCAAAGGCTGCCCCCTCCCCAACTCCCCCCCACTTTCCCATCTTATAGACGGCGGCCGTGAAGCGGTTCCTGAGCACGACCCCCAAGCTGCCCCCCTCCAGCTACTTCAACGCCTCGGGGAGAGCCTACCCGGACCTGGCCGCCTTGTCCGACAACTACTGGGTGGTCTCCAACCGCATCCCCCTGCCCTGGGTCTCCGGCACCTCCGTGAGTAGGGGGCTAGTGGGAAGGGAGGGAGGGGGTCTGTGGGGGGGCTACCCTCCTCCCCTTCTCTTATTTATTTATTTATTTAAAAGTTTTGTATGCCGGCCTTCTCACCTCTCTTGAGGGACTCAGACCGGTTTCCAACCATAATATCACAGACAATCAATAAAACATCATAATACATATTACAGTAAAACATTAAAACAGCAATTACAATCAATAACTACAATGGTCAGTCGTCACACTAAAATCGTTGCTCCTCATCCTCCATCCATATCTCAGGGTGTTGGCTCACTCGTCGAATGCCTGTCTCCATAACCACGTCTTCACCAGTTTCCTAAATGTCAGGATAGACGGGGCGGTTCTGATCTCCAGTGGGAGAGAGTTCCAGAGTCGAGGGGCCACCACCGAGAAGGCCCTGTCCCTCGTCCCCGCTTGTGAGGCTGGTGGAACCAAGAGCAGGGCCTCTCCAGACATTCTTAATAATCTTGATGGTTTATATGTTGCCCCCCTCCCTTTCCTTTGATGCCAGGCTTCGACTCCGGTGGTGGCGGGCATATTTGCGTTGATCAACGACCGGCGCCTGCAGCGAGGGCTCCCGCCGCTGGGCTTCCTCAACCCCGTCCTCTACCAACTCCAGGATCAGGGCCATGGTGCCGCCTTCTTTGATGTGAGTGCCGTCAACATCTTGTCCTGTCTGTCCCTCCTTCACTCTTCTTCCTCCTCAACATTTTGCAGTGCTTCCCCCCCCCCCCACACACACACACTTTTTTTGGGGGGCCCACCTATGGGACGTGTGCAGCGTAATAATATTTATTTATTTATTGATTTACAGTATTTCTATGCCACCTTTCTCAGCCCAAAGGCGACTCAAGGTGGCTTACAAATTGGCAACAATTCGATGCCACAATTGTCATGAAATCAATTAAAAACATTTCGCACTGTTGCACTCCCGGACAGGAAAAGCCCTCTGACTTTAAACACCACACCGTTGGATAGGGAAACAATCCTTTTATTGAAGATAATTAAAAAGCAGTAAAGTAAAAAGCCCTTTAAAGAAATAGGTAAATCCAATTAGGTAGGAAGATAAGCAGGGACACAGGGTAAGCGCCCAGCAAAGTCCACAAAAACAAAGTCAAAACTTCCCAAGTAAAATGCAAGAAATCAGGAAACATGAGTCCAAGGCATGAATATAAAATCATAGTACCCAAAAATCAAAACTATGAAACAAAAGGCACTTAAACATGAATTTTCCAAGCAAAGCTTCCACGAAACAAGGATGAGATCTTGACTTGATTCCAAACGATGCTTCATCTGACTACATATCCTGAACTTGAGACTTTTATCTCCTTGTTAGCTATGTCTCTAGTGCTCAGAAATTGGTTTCGCTTTAGCTGAGAATTTCTAATCTTTTTTTCTCGGAGCCTGGCAGAACGCTGAACCCACTGTTCGGCTTTTCTGTTCTGACTGATCTCCTCCCGTCTATCTGTTTGCGCATTAATTTCTGTAGCTGGGCCAGGTGCCGAGCTGTTTTCATGTTCCCTATTATAGGAAATCTCTGATAACAATTCAGGGAGTGCACCCTCATCCCCACACCCCTCAGGAACATTCTCATGAGAAACTACACTTTGCACAGGGATCTCCTGGTCATTCTCTGCATCAATATCCTTGACCAAACCATTGCCATCTTGCAACTCACTGACACCACTCCCCACGTACAAAGCACCCTGATCCTGAAACACAATCACAGGCTGAGCTCTAACAAGCACACTTATAAAAATAATGTAAAAATCACTAAAAACATATCATCACCAGTGACTTCCTGTTAACATCAAAACATTTTATTTATATTCCGTCCTATCTCCCCAAGGGGACTCGGGGCGGATCACAGTACACATACACAAAAAACATTCAATGACATTTTGCATAGACAATACAGAGACAAACAGAACAGAAAGGAGGTATGTTGTGTCGTCAACATCCAGCTTTTGGGCACCTTGGAAGTTGTGCTCGAATCCAGCCACAGAGGGGTGCTGTCGCTCCATCCTCTATGGCCAAGAGCTATCAGGACTTCCTCCTTCTTTTTAGTCACCTGGCGTTTTCTGATCTTTTTCTTTATGGTGTTGTAAAATACCATAAAAATGGTGTTGTAAAAAGTGCTGAGAGTGCCTTGGACTACGAGAAGATCCAACCAGTCCATCCTCCAGGAAATAAAGCCCGACTGCTCACTGGAGGGAAAGATACTAGAGACAAAGTTGAAGTACTTTGGCCACATCATGAGGAGACAGGAAAGCCTAGAGAAGACAATTATGCTGGGGAAAGTGGAAGGCAAAAGGAAGAGGGGCCGACCAAGGGCAAGATGGATGGATGGCATCCTTGAAGTGACTGGACTGACCTTGAGGGAGCTGGGGGTGGTAACGGCCGACAGGGAGCTCTGGCGTAGGCTGGTCCATGAGGTCACGAAGAGTCGGAGACGACTGAACGAATGAACAACAACAACAACAAAAATACCACCCCCGGTTTTTAGCGGTACCTAATTTCTCTACTTACAGCTCAAGTTGTTTTAAACTGCTTAGGTCAACAGCAAGCTGGGCTGACAGTCTCAATGGCACATTAGACTCAAAGTCAATATGGGGAGAAATAACACCGACTCGTAACCAGTGTTGCATCTCCCTGTATTGACTTGAGTCTAATGTGCCAGCAGGACCCCCTCTGCCCCTCGTGGCTCTCTTACCCGCCTGGGTGCTTCTGGGGAATGCTGACCCTTGCCCTCCCTTTGCCTCCCTCTTGCTCCAGGTCACGCGTGGGTGCCACCTCTCCTGCCTGGACGCCACCGTGGAGGGGCAGGGCTTCTGCGCCGTTCCTTCCTGGGACCCCGTCACCGGCTGGGGCACCCCCAACTTCCCAGAGCTCCTGCGCGCCCTGATGAAGTAGCCGTGTGTCTGCGTGGGGGGCATTACGAGGAAGCCCCTCCCCACAGGCACGCACCCAAAGGGCTCCCCACAGCATTGCGCACCCAGGACGGACCGGAGAGTCAGTGGGGTCTCTCCTCACTCTGAATGAGACCATGGCGGTGGAACCGGGGGGAAGGGGACATGGAACGCCTCCCTCAAAGAGCTGGGCCTGGGTGCCTTTGGGTCTTCCACACAAACACAAACGAGCAAACTCAGGAGAACTTAGGGGGCAGCAAGAGGAGGTTAGGGCCAGATAGTTTGGGACCCTCACCTCCTGGAAGGATGCTGCCCCTGTCCAGCGGAGTCGCCTGCCTTCCTTCCTTCCTTCCTTCCTTCCTTCCTTGGAGGCGGGATGGCCATCTGTTGGGAGGGCTTAGGTTGGGGCCAGGCTAGATTACCTTTGGGGGTCTCTTCTAGCTGTGACTGTAAGAGAAGGAGAAGATGAGGCCTGGTCTCTCTCTTCTTGGGCAATAAAGCAATAAAGGCCTGGCCCCGCCGCCTGTGTCTTTGACTCTCTTTGTGCTGTCAGCAGGTTCAAATCCGGGGAGTGGTGGATGAGTTCCCCCTGTCAGTTCCAGCTCCTCATGCGGGGACATGAGAGAAGCCTCACACAAGGATGATAAAAACATCAAAAATCATCTGGGCAATGTCCTTGCAGACGGCCAGTTCTCTCATACTAGAAGTGACTTGCAGTTTCTCAAGTCGCTCCTGACACGACAAAAAAAAAGTACCTCCTTAAAGGCCGCTGCAACGTATACAATATATATAGGTCTTCTGGCAAAGGATCGTTGTGGTGCTGGAGCTTGAGCGGCTTGATGATGCCACGAGTGAAATGGTGAAGGGACACCCAAGACGAGAGGTCAGACTAAATATGATCCCTGGGGAAGATCATGGCAACCCACCCCAGTATTCTTGCCAGGAAAACTAACTGGATCAGTGCAACCAGAGAGACGTCTGGCAGGGAACTCTGGCCTGGGCTGGTCCAGGAGGTCAGGAAGTGTCGGAAGTGATTGAACGAGTAAACAACAAAAAATTATAGAAATATTAACATTGTAGTGTAAGAACACTAATATATATATATATATATACATACACACACACACATACACACACACACACACACACACATACATACACACACATACACACACAGACATATATCATATATATATATATAATATTAATGATGTTGTAATACATTATATATACTGCAACTTATGATACAGCATACTATATAATAATAAGGTAAAGGCTTCCCCTTGACCTTAAGACTAGCCGTGTCCAACTCTGGGACTCTGGTGCTCGCCTCCATTTGTAAGCCGAAGAGCCGGAATTATCCGTAGACGCATGAGCACCATTATCTTCCCGCTGGTGCGGTACTTATTGATATACACACATTTGCATGTTTTCAAACTGCTAGGTTGGCAGAAGCTGGGGCTGACAGCAGGAGCTCACCTCGCTCCCTGGGTTTGAACTGCTAATCTTCTGGTTAGCAACTTCTACAGCCACGCAGTTTTTAATAATAAAAATGCAATATGTAATATTATAATAATTGGATTATTATATTAAACTTATATATTAAATACTCCACTGTCAAGGGTGATTTGAATGCAATATTCCTGCTTCTTGGTAGAATGGGGTTGGACTGGATAGCCCAAGAGGGCTCTTCCAACTCTAGGATTCTAAGAGAGGAGATTCTATCTGAACCTGAGGAAGAACTTCCTGACTGTAAGGAGAGCCGTTCAGCAGTGGAACTCTCTGCCTCCCCGGAGGGAGTGTGGTGGAGGCTCCTTCTTTGGAAGCTTTTAAGCAGAGGCTGGATGGCCATCTGTCAGGGGTGATTTGAATGCAATATTCCTGCTTCTTGGCAGAATGGGGTTGGACTGGATGATGGCCCAGGAGGTCTCTTCCCACTCTGGGATTCTAGGATTCTATGAAATATTATATATATCTATATATCCTAGAATATATACACCATACTATAAAATATTTATTTAATATATAAATATATATTTAAAAATACTAAATATTAAAAACATTAAAAGCCTCATTTCTAATTTTCAAGTCCAACTGCAAAATAAAACTGGAAAATTATATATTACATGTAATGTTGGGATAATAAAGCGGGAGATATAACCAAACCAAGACTAACATCCGGGTACTCTGGTCAGGGCTAGACCCGGAAGTGAGTGCGTCAGAGGAAGTGAGTGGCTTTCGGAGCAGCGGACCATTTCCGGAAGTGGGCGAGAGCGTGGTGCGCATGCGCCACTTCGCCCGGCCTTCGAGGGGGCGTGGCTTCAGGAGCAGCGGCCATTTCCGGAAGTGGGCGTGAGCGCGGTGCGCATGCGCCACTTCGCCCGGCCTCCGAGGGGGCGTAGCTTCAGGAGCAGCGGCCATTTCCGGAAGTGGGTGTGAGCGCGGTGCGCATGCGCCTCTTCGCCCGGCCTTCAGGAGCAGCGGACATTTCCAGAGGTGGCGGGAGCGTGGTGCGCATGCGCCTCTTCGCCCGGCCTTCGAGGGGGCGTGGCTTCAGGAGCAGCGGACATTTCCAGAGGTGGCGGGAGCGTGGTGCGCATGCGCCACTTCGCCCGGCCTTCGAGGGGGCGGAGCTTCAGGAGCAGCGGCCATTTCCGGAAGTGGGCGTGAGCGCGGTGCGCATGCGCCACTTCTCCCGGCCGCCCCGATGAGCTCGACAGGCGGAGCGGGAAGCGGGGAGGGCGAGGCCGGGCCCGGGGCTCCCTCCGCCGCCGCGCCTCCCCCCTCCGGCGCCGCCTCGGCAGCCCCTCCCTCCGCGGAGGCCCCCTCCAAGGCCGGCAGCAGCCCCGGCGCGGGGACAGGCCTTGCGGCCTCCACTTCCGCTTCCGCTTCCTCCTCAGCGCCTCCTCCCCCTCCTCTTCCCCCCACCGCGGCCGCCTCCCTCCCCACGGCCGTCCTGCTCCTGCCCCCGGCTCCTGTCCCTGCGGAAGGCCCTCCTTCCTCCTCCTCCTCGAGCTCTTCCTCGTCCAGCTCCTCCTCCAGTTCCTCGTCGTCTTCCTCGTCGGCGCCCAACGGGGCTCTCTTCGCGCTGCCGGCCAACGGGGAGGCCAAGCCCGGCGGCGCATGCGCATTCGCCTCCTCCGCCGCCGCCGCCGCCTCCCCCGCCTCGGCCTCCTCCGCCCCGCCTCCCCCCGCCAACGCCAGCGCCGCTTCCGCTTCCGCCGCCTCCCCCTCCGCCGCTGCCCCCTCCGCCGCCCCCCTCGTCGACTTCCTGCTCCAGCTCGAGGACTACACGCCCACCGTGAGTGCCAAGCAAGACCTTCTCTCCCTCCCTCCCTCAAGTGTTTTGGACTCCAACTCCCACCAGCTTAAGCGGCTGAGGGGGAAAAGGAAGGGGCCTGAGGCCAGGAATGGTGGGAGTTGGAGTCCAAAACCACTGAAGGACCAAAGTTAAGAGGCTGAGGGCTGAAAGGAAAGGGCCTAGGGCCAGGAATGCTGGGAGTTGAAGTCCAAAACACCTGGAGAGAGAGTGAGTGAAAAGGCAGGGAAACAACACACTTGGGCCTTCTCTCCCTCCCTCCCTTCCTTCCTCCAGGGGTTTGGGACTCCAACTCCCACCATTCCTCAGGCCCTTTCCTTTTCCCGTTCCAGCTGCTAGGAATGGTGGGAGTTGGAGTCCAAAACACCTGGAGGGGAGGGCCCAAGTTGGCCCAAGCCTGGTGTATTGATAATGATACTAATACTGATTTAGCATCATTATAAGATCTATCTATCAATCTATAATAACCTATAAATCCCTAAACGACTCCGGCCCAGTTTACCTGTCCAAACGTATTCTCCCCTATGAACCATCTAGGTTGTTAAGATCGTCTGGAGGGGCCCTGCTCTCGGTCCCACCACCCTCGCAATCGCGTCTGGTGGGGACGAGGGACAGAGACTTCTCAGTGGTGGCCCCTCAGCTCTAGAACTCTCTCCCACTAGAATCCTAGAATCCAAGAGTTGGAAGAGACCTCGTGGGCCATCATCCAGTCCAACCCCATTCTGCCAAGAAGCAGGAATGTTGCATTCAAAGCACCCCTGACAGATGGCCATTCATCCAGCCTCTGTTTGAAAGCCTCCAAAGAAGGAGCCTCCACCACACTTCCTCCGGGGCAGAGAGTTCCACTGCTGAACAGCTCTCACAGCCAGGAAGTTCTTCCTCATGTTCAGGTGGAATCTCACTGGAGATCAGAACTGCTCCCTCCATCCTGTCATGAGTGAAAAGGCAGGGCCTTCTCTCCCTCCCTTCCTTCCTTCCTTCATTCAGGTGTTTTGGACTCCAACTCCCACCATTCCTGGCCTCAGACCCCTTCCTTTCCCCCCCTCAGCCACTTAAGCCAGGTGTATTCCTACTGATAGCAGGAGCTATTTATTTACTTGTTGTAAAGGAGACCGTTTTAATGCAGTCTCTGTGGATGTAACGAGAGCACCTGCTTGTCCTATTTTGATGGATTCATTTCAATTGGTGAAGCCCGAGGATGTGGACAAGATACTTGGAGGAATGAGGCCCACCACGTCCATCCTAGACCCCTGCCCATCCTGGCTTCTAAAAGAGGCCAGAGGGGGATTGGCTGAGTGGGTGGAGGTGGTGGTTAATGCCTCCCTTCGGGAAGGCAAAATTCCAGCGAGCTTAAAACAAGCTATAATAAAACCGCTGTTGAAGAAACCATCACTGGACCCCACTAAATTTGACAACTTTCGGCCAGTTTCCAATCTCCCCTTTTTGGGCAAAGTCCTGGAAAGCGTGGTGGCCTCACAACTCCAGGTATTCTTGAGAGACACGGATTATCTAGACTCGGCACAGTCTGGTTTCAGACTGGGACATGGAACTGAGACGGTCTTGGTCGCCTTAGTGGATGATCTGCGCCGGGAGCTCGACAGGGGGAGTGTGTCCCTGTTGGTGCTGCTGGACCTCTCAGCGGCCTTCGATACCGTCGACCACGGTATCCTTCTGGGGCGCCTTGCGGAAATGGGTCTCGGAGGCACTGTTCTGCAGTGGCTCCGGTCATTTCTGGAGGGTCGTTCCCAGAAGGTGTTATTGGGGGACACCTGTTCTTCCCCACAACCATTGTCTTGTGGGGTTCCTCAGGGTTCTATTCTGTCTCCCATGCTGTTTAACATCTACATGAAGCCGCTGGGTGAGATCATCCGGAGTTTCGGGGTACGGTGTCATCTGTACGCAGATGATGTCCAACTCTGTCACTCCTTTCCACCTGCTACTAAGGAGGCTGTCGAGGTCCTGAACCGGTGCTTGGCCGCTGTGACGGTCTGGATGAGGGCGAACAAATTGAAATTGAATCCAGACAAGACAGAGGCACTCCTGGTTAGTCGCAAGGCCGAACAGGGTATAGGGTTACAGCCTGTGTTGGATGGGGTCGCACTCCCCTCTGAAGACACAGGTTCGCAGCTTGGGTGTGACCCTGGACTCATCGCTGAGCCTGGAGCCCCAGGTCTCGGCGGTGACCAGGGGAGCATTCGCACAGCTCCGGCTCGTGCGCCAGCTGCGCTCGTATCTTGGGAAGTCTGACTTGGCCACGGTGGTACACGCTCTTGTCACATCCCGCCTTGACTACTGCAACGCTCTCTACGTGGGGCTGCCCCTGAAGACAGCTCGGAAGCTCCAACTAGTCCAACGCGTGGCAGCCATGATTCTAACACGAGCGGAGCGCAGGGAGCACACAACCCCCCTGTTGCACCAGCTCCACTGGCTGCCGATTTGCTACCGGGCCCAATTCAAGGTGTTGGTACTGGCCTATAAAGCCCTAAACGGTTCCGGCCCAAAATACCTAGCTGACCGCATCTCGGCCTATGAACCCACCCGGACTTTGAGATCTTCCGGGGAGGCCCGGCTCTCGATCCCGCCAGCCTCTCAAGCACGGTTGGCGGGGACGAGGGATAGGGCCTTCTCGGTGGTGGCTCCTCGGCTGTGGAACGCCCTTCCTGTAGATGTTAGGCTGGCACCATCTCTCTTGACATTCCGTAGAAAGTTGAAGACCTGGATGTTTGTGCAGGCATTTGAGTAATTCAGTGCAATTCTGGTAATTTGAACATAGGAACGGAACAATGGACATCGAATTTGGATCACGCTTGGATGATGAGGCGATCGGGGGGGGGTTTGGGAGAACTGTGTATTGATGTTTGTATTAGCTAGTAATGGACATGTGTAGTTTAACTGTTATGGTATATTGATTGTTTTGCTGCTTTTATTGTCTTTGTTGTTTGCTGTCTGGAAACCGCTGTGAGTCACCCTCGGGCTTGAGATACAGTGGTATACAAGAATAGTAAATAAATAAATAAATGCCACCGAATGCCACCAATTGTGAAGGTGCGCGTGGTAAAACACCCACTGCCACCTAATCTATGAGGGAAGCTGGGCAACTATTAATATCCACCTAGGAGCTATTTTATAAAGGGACTGTGAATTCCAGAAGGCTTTGTTCATTTGATAGCGTAGCGTTTACTGTTTCTGGCTGACTTTACTATTGCAGGCTGTTCAACTTAGGAGAAACTGTATCAGGCAAGGCTTGAGGAAAACAGTAACAAGTTTATTTTAACAGGAGTATAACATGTTTAACTGTTTCTTCACAAGAGGCACAAATCTTGAGGGTTACATTGGAAAGGTTTCATGAGTAATCTCAGGCACAGTCTTCAAAACGTTTCACAGCAGGCACAGCAGGCTTAAACCTAGCCAAACCTTGATTCTTAATTCAGAATCAACAATCCCCTGTAGCTCTCTCACTACCAGGTCCTTCTCTGCAACCACTTTGGTCACCAACTGATTCCCTGAATCCCCACCCTGAGATTCAGTCTTTCCTATAGCACACCGGCTACAGACACATTTCCTGAATCTCCACCTAGAGACTCAGTCCTCTCAGTAGCTCTCCGGCTACTGACTGACTTTTAAAAATAGCTGCCTCCTGAAGAGGCAGTTGGCTCCGCCCCTGTTGCTATGGCAACTCAGCTAACGCCAAGCCACCATCTCCAACAAAACATAATCCTCCATACTTACCATCCCTAAACTACTGTTTAAATTACACATAACCAAAGGAATAAAATTTACACATTGTCACACTTGTTTACTAGCTTTACCCGCCACGCGTTGCTATGGCCAACGTTCCCTCTCTCTTTCTCGTCATCCTTTCTCGCCTTCCTTCCTTCCCTTCCTTTCCTCTTTCCTTCCTTTCCTCTTTCCTTCCTTTCTTCTTTCTCTCTTTCCTTCTCTCCCCCCTCTTTCCTTCCTTCCCTTCCTCTTTCCTCTCCTTCCTTCACTCCCTCTTTCCTTCCTTCCCCTTTTCCTTCCTTTCTTCCCTTTTTTTCTTTCTCTCCTTCCCTCCCTGTTTTTCCTTCCTTCTTTCTCTCCTCCCTCCCTCCCTTCCTTCCTTCCCTCCCTCCCTCTTTCCTTCCTTGCCTTTTTTCTTTCCTTCCTTCTTTCTCTCCTTCCTTTCCTCCCTTTCCTTCCTTCCCTTTCTTTCCTTCCTTTTTCTCTCCTTTCTTCCCTCTCTCCCTCTCTCCCTCCTTCCTTCTTTCCCTTTCCTTCTTTCCTTCTTTCTCTCCTTTCTCTCCTTTCTCTCCTTCCTCTCCTTCCCTCCCTTCCTCCTTTCTCTCCTTCCTTCCCTCCCTCTTTCTTTCCTTTTTCTCTCTCTTTCCTTCTCTCCCTTCCCTTCCTTCTTTCTCTCCTTCCCTTTTTTTCTTTCCTTCTCTCCTTCCTTCCCTCCCTCTTTCTTTCCTTTTTCTCTCTCTTTCCTTCTCTCCCTTCCCTTCCTTCTTTCTCTCCTTCCCTTTTTTTCTTTCCTTCTCTCCTTCCTTCTCTACCTCTTAACCTCCAAGGCGGATCATTGAGGGAAATACATTTCGACAGGTAAACTGGGCCGAAACTATTCTGGGCCAGTGAAGCCGACACAAATTCCCAGGAATTCACAAATCCAGACCCTCTGGTATAGAGAGCTCTTGGCCGTTTTCCTAAAGCTAAGCAGGGACAGGGCCACTTGATCCTTCTGCGAGGGCATTCCGTAGAGACGGTGCTGCACCTGAAAAGGACCCTTCGCTCGTGCTGCGGAGCGGTGTATTGGTAGCAGTGTTTTCCTCCTGGATCTAAGTGCTTGCCCTGGGATGTAACGAGGGTCACGGTGCTCCAGGTAGGCTGGACCGAAGCCGAGAAGGGCTTTATAGCTGATCTTACTTACTTACTTAGGCGATCCCTCATTGTCCAAGTAGGATAATCCTCCAGGTGGGTCCGTAGGTGGCTGTGGAGCCCTATTCTTGACCCACATGTTCTCCCGCAGTGAGGGCATCAGTTTTCCAGGTGGAAGGTGTCCTGGTTGGGGTTGGCTTGACGCATCTTCCTCTTACCACATTTCTCCCTTTCGCCCTCCATTCGTTCCTCTTCAAATTCTGCAGCACTGCTGGTCACAGCTGACCTCCAGCTGGAGCGCTCAAGGGCCAGGGCTTCCCAGTTCTCTGTGTCTATGTCAGAGATTTCAAGGTTGGCTTTGAGCCCATCTTTCAATCTCTTTTCCTGTCCACCAACATTCCGTTTTCCGTTCTTGAGTTCGGAGTAGAGCAACTGCTTTGGGAGACGGTGGTCGGGCATCTGGACAACGTGGCTGGTCCAGCGGAGCTGATGGCGAAGGAGCATCGTCTTTGCTTCTTCAAGCACACTGACATTTGTCCGCCTGTCTTCCCAAGAAATTTGCAGGATTTTCCGGAGGCAGCGCTGATGGAATCGTTCCAGGAGTTGCATGTGACGTCTGTAGACAGTCCACGTCTCGCAGGCATAGAGCAGGGTTGGGAGGACAATAGCTCTATAAACAAGCACCTTGGTCTCCCTACGGATGTCCTGGTCCTCAAGCACTTTGGAAAAATGCTGCGCTCGCAGAGCTCAGGGGGTGTTGTATCAGTCGTCAAGTCGATCGGGGTATCGGGTGGCGACTTGTGCTTGATGGGGTCCCTCTCCCCCTGAAGACACAGGTCTGCACCTTGAGGGTCCTCCTGGACTCGGTGTTGACGCCTGATGCTCAGGTGTCGGGGGTGGCCGGGAGGGCCTTCTTTGCACAATTTAAGCTTGTGCACCAGCTGTGACCGTTTTCCGTTTTCCGTTCTTGAGTTCGAAATAGAGCAACTGCTTTGGGAGACAGTGGTCGGGCATCCGGACAACGTGGCCAGTCCAGCGGAGTTGATGGCGGAGGAGCATCGCTTTAATGCTGGTGGTCTTTGCTTCTTCCAGCACGCTGACGTGTGTCCGCCTATCTTCCCAAGAGATTTGCAGGATTTTTCGTAGGCAGCGCTGATGGAATCGTTCCAGGAGTTGCATGTGACGTCTGTAGACAGTCCACGTTTCGCAGGCATAGAGCAGGGTTGGGAGGACAATAGCTTTATAAACAAGCCCCTTGGTCTCCCTAAGGATGTCCTGATCCTCAAACACTCTCTGCTTCATTCGGAAAAAAGCTGCACTCACATAGCTCAGGCAGTGTTGTATTTCAGTTTCAATGTTGACATCTGTAGACAGTCCACGTCTCGCAGGGGTATAGCAGGGTTGGGGGTACAATAGCTTTATAAACAAGCACCTTAGTCTGCCTACGGATGTCCTGATCCTCAAACACTCTGCTTCATTCGGAAAAAAGCTGCACTCACATAGCTCAGGCAGTGTTGTATTTCAGTCTCAATGTTGACATCTGTAGACAGTCCACGTCTCGCAGGCATAGAGCAGGGTTGGGGGTACAATAGCTTTATAAACAAGCACCTAAGTCTGCCTACGGATGTCCTGGTCCTCAAACACTCTCCGCTTCATTTGGAAGAAGGCTGCACTTGCAGAGCTCAGGCAGTGTTGTATTTCGGTGTTGATGTTGACTTTTGGGGAGAGGTGGCTGCCAAGGGAGCAGAAATGGTCCACATTTTCTAATGTTCCACCATTAAGCTGTATTTCTGGCATTGGAGAGGGATGGGCTGGTGACTTTTGCTGGAAGAGCACTTTGGTATTCTTGATGTTTAATGACGGGCCGAGCTTCTCGTATGCTTCTGCGAAGGTGTTTAGAGTGGCTTGTAGGTCTTCTTCTGAATGCGCACAGACAACGTTGTCATCAGCATACTGGGGTTCTATAATAGATGTTGTAATCTTGGTTTTAGTTTTCAGTCTGCTGAGGTTAAATAGCTTGCCATCTGTCCATTAGATGATTTCCACTCCGGTGGGAAGCTTCCCGTCAACACGATCATCAGCACCTTAACCCTATATGGTTCTGGCCCAGCGTACCTGTCCGAACATATCTCCTTCTGAGTCCCACCTTGGAGTTTAAGGTCTTCTGGGGAGGCCCTGCTCTCGGCCCCGCCTCTGTCACAAATGTGCTTGGCGGGGACGAGGGACAGGGCCTTCTTGGTGGTGGCAGGAGAACATGTGGGTCAAGAATAGGGCTCCATAGTCACCTACAGACCCACTGCCAGGACACCGAGCTTGGAGGACAACCTTACTCGGACAATGAGGGATTGCCTAAGTAGAAATAAGAAGTAAGTAAACAGCATGACTTCCCTGGATCTGGACACTAGACTCCTCTTGATGCAGGCCAAAATCCCATTGGCTTTTCTAGCTGCAGATTCACATTCTTGGCTCGTGTTTCGCTTGTTGTCCACAGTAGAACCCCTGCCTTGTCTGGGTAACACTAAGTGTAGTTGTTCTCACATCCTCCCTGTTGTGATGCATTGCAGATCCCGGATGCCGTCACGGGATACTACCTGAACCGGGCTGGCTTCGAGGCCTCCGACCCTCGCATGTGAGTCTAGAGGCAGCGGGGGGGGGGGGGGGGGGGGGGGGGGGGGGGGGGGGGGGGGGGGGGCACATAGATTCCCTTGTGCTCCCCCTTTTAATCTCACCCCCTTCCTTGCCCCCCAACAGCATCCGCCTGATCTCCTTGGCCGCGCAGAAGTTCATCTCGGACGTGGCCAACGACGCCCTGCAGCACTGCAAGATGAAGGGCACGGCCTCCGGAAGCTCCCGCAGCAAGGGCAAGGTAAGGCCCGGGAAGGGGCAGGGGAGGGGGAAGAACTTCCTGACTGTAAGAAGAGCTGTTCAACAGTGGAACTCTCTGCTTCAGAGTGTGCTGGAAGCTCCATCCTTGGCGGCTCGTAAACCGAGCTTGGATGGCCATCTGTTGGGGTTGCTTAAATTGTGTTTTCCCTGAATGTTTGCCATTTATTTATTAATTTACGACATTTCTATGCCCCCCTTCTCACCCCGAAGAGGATTCAGAGCGGCTTACAAGATATATATATACATAGAATATTTAATATCAGTATTAAATATTGCTATATTGTAGTATACCCATTATATTGTAATATTATTATTAGTAATATTATATGTAATATAAATATAGAATTATAATATATTATTAGTAGTAGTATAGCTATATTGTAGTATACCCATTATATTGTAATATTATTGGTAATATTACTTGTAATATAAATATATAATTATAATATATTATTATTAGTGGTATTGCTATATTGTAGTATACCAATTACATTGTAATATTATTAGTAATATTACATGTAATATAAATATATTATAATATCATATTATTATTATTAGTAGTAGTAGTATTGCTATATTGTAGTATACCCATTATATTGTCATATTATTATTGGTAATATTACTTGTAATATAAATATATAATTATAATATATTAGTAGTAGTAGTATTGCTATATTGTACTATACCCATTATATTGTAATATTATTAGTAATATTATATGTAATATAACTATATAATTATAATATTATTAGTAGTATTGCTATATTGTACTATACCCATTATATTGTAATATTATTATTATTGGTAATATTACTTGTAATATAAATATATAATTATAATATATTAGTAGTAGTAGTATTGCTATATTGTACTATACCCATTATATTGTAATATTATTAGTAATATTACATGTAATATATAACTATATAATTATAATATTAGTAATAGTATTGCTATATTGTACTATACCCATTATATTGTCATATTATTGGTAATATTACATGTAATATAAATATATAATTAATTATAATATCATATTATTAGTAGTAGTATTGCTATATTGTAGTATACCCATTATATTGTAATATTATTATTAGTAACATTACATGTAATATAAATATATAATTATAATATCATATTATTATTAGTAGGACTGCTATATTGTAGTATACCCATTATATTGTAGTATTATTAGTAATATTATATGTAATATAAATATATAATTATATCATACTATTTTTAGTAGTAGTATTATCTTGCGTTACATTATCATATTATAAATATATGTATATACAATATATTAAATTATATGATATTTTTAGAATAGCACAGGAGACACAGAAATGTTGTGCTCTGCCCTGAGTCCCCTGTGGGGTGAGATGCGCAGAATATCAATGTTTTAAATAGATAATGAATAAATACATGGCGGAAGGGGGTTGGGCTGGATGGCCTTTGGGGTCCCCCATACATCTTCCTTTCCCTTCCCTTCCGCCTTGCAGGACAAGAAGCACACGCTGACCATGGAGGACCTGGGGCCTGCGCTGGCCGAGTACGGCATCAACGTCAAGAAGCCCCACTACTTCACTTAGGGGGCCGGGCCCCACTCTTCCTCCTCCTCCTCCTCCTCCTCCTCCTCCTTCACGGGACGGATGACGAGCGGTGCAGCATTTGCCTGGGGAAGAGGCCCCCATGCCTCTTTGAGGGGAGGGGTGTCCTTCCCCACCAGAAGAGTGTTTGGGGGACACACAGTCATTCACAATCAGACCGGCTTGCTGTGGACAGGTTCCATTCCATGTTGACCCTCTCTGATCTGCAGTGACTTTTCTGCCAGGGGTGGGGAGAGGGGGGGGGGGCTTCCTGAAATGCTCAGGAGGCTCTGTTGTGGTGTTCGAGGCGCTCCACAGGTTCACGCATTGTGCCATTATTAAATGTGCGCTCTAAACTACATCCGCAGTGAGTTGTTGTTCTTTCTGTGGTGGAATCTGGAGGTTTTGAAGCAGATGCCCATCTATTGTCGAAGGCTTTCATGGCCGGAATCACTGGGTTGTTGTAGGTTTTTTCGGGCTGTATGGCCATTCTAGAGGCATTCTCTCCTGACGTTTCGCCTGCATCTATGGCAAGCATCCTTAGAGGTAGTGAGGTCTGTTGGAACTAGGAAAATGGGTTTATATATCTGTGGAATGACCAGGGTGGGACAAAGGACTCTTGTCTGCTGGAGCTAGGTGTGAATGTTTCAACTGACCACCTTGATTAGTGTATTGTCGAAGGCTTTCATGGCCGGAATCACTGGATTGTTGTAGGTTTTTTCGGGCTATATGGCCATGTTCTAGAGGCATTCTCTCCTGACGTTTCGCCTGCATCTACAGCAAGCATCCTCAGAGGTAGTGAGGTCTGTTGGAACTAGGAAAATTGGGTTTATATACCTGTGGAATGACCAGGGTGGGACAAAGGACTCTTGTCTGCTGGAGCTAGGTGTGAATGTTTCAACTGACCACCTTGATTAGCATTTGATGGCCTGACAGTGCCTAGGGCAATCTTTTGTTGAGAGGTGATTAGATGTCCTTGTTTGTTTCCTCTCTGTTGTTTTGCTGTTGCAATTTTTGAGTTTTTTAATACTGGTAGCCAGATTTTGTTCATTTTCATGGTTCCCTCCTTTCTGTTGAAGTTGTCCACCTGCTTCTTGTGGATGTCAATGGCTTCTCTGTGTAGCCTGACATGGTGGTTGTGGGAGTGGTCCAGCATTTCTGTGTTCTCCAATAATATGCTGTGTCCAAGTTGGTTCATCAGGTGCTCTGCTATGGCTGACTTCTCTGGTTGCAAACTACTTCAAGGCGAAACGTCAGGAAAGAATGCCTCTCGACCATGGCCATACAGCCCAAAAAACCTACAACCCAGATGCCCATCTCTTGGGAGGGCTTTTATGGTGTATTCTTGCCTACCAGAATGTGGCTGGACTGTCAAAAAAAGGTTTGCCCATACCTGCTGTATAGTCTCCCCTTGCCCCCCCCCCCCCCCCGGGATTGGCTGCCTGCTGCTTGATTGCATGTTGCCCCAAGAGGAGGGGGCAGGAGAGGGGAATGCAGTCCAACCCCCCCCCCCCGAACCAAATGGGGCTGGAAGGAGATCAATCAGATGCTGCTGGGGGGGTGTGTGTGTGTGCATTGGGGCCTGAGTGCCATCACAGCACATGAGAGTAGGCCTATGCAGTTGGTTGCTTCTGTGGCCCCCTCTGCTTGGGGGCCGGGGGCTGGACTGATTTTATTGTAATTTGTATTTGTATTTGATTGTAATTGGTTGTTTGGGCTTGGCCTCATGTAAGCTGCCCCGAGTCCCCGTTGGAGGAGAGAGTGCTGGTGGGGTGCAAATAAAGTTTATTATTATTATTATTATTATTATTGATGCCCAAGACTGGATTGCGCAAGACGAGATGGTCCATTTGGTCTCTTCTTACTCTGTGACTAGCAGTACCTGCCATGCGTTGCTGTGGCCCTCCCGCTCTCTTGGCTGCTTGATGGACTTTTTTCCTCACCGGGGGGGGGGGGGGGCAAGGCCAGCTAGTTATTTTGTTGGCCTGATAGGGGTGTTGTGCCCAAATTTGGTGTCCATTTGTCCAGTGGTTTTTGACATGTCAATCCCACAACATGGCCCTAAGTATTTTCTGTTGGTTGTGGGAGTTCTGTGTGCTAAGTTTGGTTCAGTTCCATTACTGGTGGAGTTCAGAATGATACTTGATTGTAGGTGAACTATAAGTCTCAGTAACTACAACTCCCAAACTATAAATCCCAGTAACTATTTCCCCAAACTCCATCTGTGTTCCTATTTGGGCATATGGAATATTTGTGCCAAGTTTGGTCCAGATCCATCATTGTTGGAGTCCACCGTGCTCTCTGGATGTAGGTGAACTACAACTCCCAAACTCAAGGTCAATGCCCACCAAACCCTTCCAGTGTTTTCTGCTGGTCATGGGAGTCCTGTGTGTCACCTTTAGTTCAATGCCATCATTGGTGGAGTTCAGGATGCTCTTTGATTGTAGGTGAACTATAAATCCCAGCAACTCCCAACTCCCAAATGAGAAAATTAAAAAAAAATGAGTGAAGGACAAACATTGGGGTTGTTAGGTGTCTTGTGTCCAAATTTGATGTCAATTCCCCCAGTGGTTTTTGAGTTATGTTAATCCCACAAATGAACATTACATTCTTATTTATATAGATTCTAAAACAGTGGTTCTCCACCTGTGGGTCATTCCCCAGATGTTTTGGCCTCCCACTCCCAGAAATCCTAACAGCTGGTAAACTGGCTGGGATGTCTGGGAGTTGGAAGCCAAAACATGGGGGGGGGGGGACACCCACAGGTGGAGAACCACTGGTGTAGAGGTAAACTGGATGACCTTTGGGGGTCCCTTCCAAGTCTTCTGCTAGGACACGTGGCGAAGCCTCCTTCATTCTCTGGAGCCTTTGGAACAGAGTCTGGATGGTTCTCTGTCGGGAGGGCTTGGATGGGGTCTCCCCAGTCTGGGCTTTGGACTAGAAAGGGTCTCTTTCTCCCTCAATCCACGCAGAAGGCCAGTCTTGAGTATGACAAGGGTTTTATTCTCGAGTGCTCTGGGCAGCGCTTGCTTGCGTAGAAAAGAGTAAAAACAATGGCTCGGTGGGAGCGCGCAGCGGCAGTGGCGTGCGGCAAGGCGGCTTACATACACGTGGGGGGACGGGCAATGGGGAGGGGGCTGCTAAAGGCAACTCAGGGAGGGAGGGAGGGGGGCAGCGCTGCGGAGGCTGAGGCACTTGGCAGCGCTCCCCACCCCTCCCATTGCATCCCCCTGCCCTCAAAGAAGTGGGGGAGAGGGGGGCAAGGCAGTGGCAGTCCATCTGTACCGTTTTGGCGCTTCCTTCCTTCCTTCCTTCCTTCGTCCTGTCCGGAGCGCCTCCCAAAAGGCACTTAGGGGAGGGGGTGTAGCTTTATTTGGGGAAGGGGGGTGCTAGGCGTTGCCCCCCCCTCCCAAAATCCGGCCTCTCCCCCTCTTCACTTCTCTTGCATCTTCTCCAGGATGGGGGCGATCATGTCGAACTTGGGGCGCTTGGCGGGGTCCTCGTTCATGCAGATCTTCATCAGCTTGCAGATGTGGGGGGAGATGCCCGGCGGGATGGTGGGGCGCAGGCCCTCCAGGGCCACCTGTGGGGGGGGGAGGGGGGCAAAGGTCAAAGCAAGGCCACTACTAGGCCATAGACGTTGGAGCGGGACCCCCGGAGACCCTCCTTCCTGACCTTCATGCCGATCTCCATGTTGGAAAGGTCCGCGAAGGGCACCTCCCGCGTCACCAGCTCCCACAGCAGCACCGCAAAGCTCCACATGTCGGCCGAGCGGCGGTTGATCTCCTCCGGCTTCTTCTGAAGGGCTGGAGGACCATTTCCGGGGCAGACAAAGTCATGTCACTGGGAATACTCAACTGGAAAGCCAGTCCCTGGGCCTCCCTCAACTACAGGAAACTGTCATCGCAGAGTTAAAGTGGGATCGCACTGCTTTAATGGTGCCTGTGGGAACCTCCAGGATCAAGGTGACCACATTTCTGTCTACGAACCCACACGACTTCTTCGGTCTTCTAGAGAGGCTCTTCTCTCGCTCCCGCCTGCATCACAAGTGTGACTTGCAGGACGAGAGAGAGGGCCTTCTCTGTGGTGGCCCCCCGGCTCTGGAATTCACTCCCCAGAGATATTAGGCAAGCCCCCACCCTGGCAATCTTTAGGAGGAACTTGAAAACCAGGTTATTCCAATGTGCCTTCAGTGATTGAATGTAAGATACTCCCTGACAAAATTTTGCACAAATGTCCTCAGAAGCACTTTATTTTATGGGTTGTTGTAGGTTTTTTTTTGGGCTATAGGGCCATGTTCTAAAGGCATTCTCTCCTGACGTTTCGCCTGCATCTATGGCAAGCATCCTCAGAGGTAGTGAGGTCTGTTGGAACTAGGAAAATGGGTTGATATATCTGTGGAATGACCAGGGTGGGACAAAGGACTCTTGTCTGCTGGAGCTAGGTGGGAATGTTTCAACTGACCACCTTGATTAGTATATAATGGCACCTGATGAACCAACCTGGACACAGCATATTATTTGAGAACACAGAAATGCTGGACCACTCTCACAACCACCATGTCAGACTGCACAGAGAAGCCATTGAAATCCACAAGAAGCAGGTGGATAATTTCAACAGAATGGAGACCATGAAAATGAACAAAATCTGGCTCCCAGTATTAAAAAAACTCTAAAATTACAACAGCACAACAACAGAGAGGAAACAAACAAGGACATCTAATCACCTCTCAACAAAAGATTGCCCCAGGCACTGCCAGGCCATCAAATGCTAATCAAGGTGGTCGGTTGAAACATTCACACCTAGCTCCAGCAGACAAGAGTTCTTTGTCCCACCCTGGACATTCTACAGGTAACTAAGCGCTTTTTCCCAGTTCCAACAGACCTCACAACCTCTGAGGATGCTTGCCAGAGATGCAGGCGAAACGTCTGGAGAGAATGCCTCTAGAACATGGCCATATAATCCGAAAAAAACTACAACAACCCTAATTATTATTATTATTATTATTATTATTATTATTATTATTATTATTATTATTATCATTAAGGCAGAGAAGGAGCCTGGGACCAAGGGAAGAGCGGGCCAAAATATTGAGAATATTCATTTCTTTGGTGTCGGCGTCTTGTGGAAAATGGGGTGCCAGGCCAGTGGGTGACTCAGCCTGTGACACAGAGCATTGCAGGACACGAATGCCAAGGCAGGAGGTGAAGCCTCTCCTCGGTTGGAAACGAAACGAGCTTCTGAGTCAAGGAAGAGTGACAGAGTAAGGGTTCCAGGGACTCAAAGTTTCCATGGGGCATCGTCAATTTTTTTCTGTTCAAAAATGGCATGGGAAGATGGAGATGAAGACTCAATGGAGCCAGCCAGGAGCAGGCTCCATTTCCACCTGAACATTAGGAAGAACTTCCTAGAGAGCCGTTCAACAGTGGAACTCTCTGCCTTCGAGTATGGTGTTGACTCCTCCTTTGGAGACTATTAAGCAGAGACTGGAGGGGCATCTGTTGGGGGGCTTTGCATGTGCTTTTCCTGCCTGGCCAAATAAAGGGGGTAGGACTAGATGGGGCATGTGGTTTCTTTGGACCCCCCAGCGGTGGCCAGACTCACCCTCGGGGGCCACCCAGGCGGGAGCGTACATCCTTCCGGGGCACTGGAAGGAGAACTTGACGTCAGCCATGCTGATCCGGGCCGTCATGTCCTCGTCGATCTGTGTGTGAGGGAAGGGGGAGCGTTGTTGGTACCGAACGGCGGTCCCTCTACTCACAATGCCCCTCCCTCCATCCCGGACCCCGGACTCACGGACTGACCATAATGCTGCGGCTGTTGAGGGCGTGGCGGGGGATGAGGGGCTCCAGGGTGTGCAGGAAGGCCATGCCCCGCGCCACGTCCAGCGCAAACTTCACCGCCTGGCTCTGGTCCACCACAAAGTCTGGCAGGGGGGGGGGAAAGGGAGAGGGCAGGAGGTCAACGAATGGGTCAAAACAAGGGAGAAGGTCAAGCGCTGACGGTGGAAGGAAGGAAGAGCCCACCCAATTCTCCTAAGGAAGCGAGGCCTCTGGTCAGTCCCAGCTTTCATCCTCAGGCCAATAGCCAAGCCAAGGAGGAGAGCCCATGTCCAGTTCTGGGCTGGACTCTGATACAAAGGTTCAGGCCCAGAGGGGTATTTTTTTTCATCTCAGGAGCTACTTGAGAAACTACAAGTTGCTTCTAGTGTGATAGAACTGGCCGTCTGCAAGGACGCCGCCCAAAGGACATTGCCCAGATGTGTTACCATCCTGTGGGGGGCTTCTCCCATGTCCCTGCACGAGAAGCTGCAGCTGACAGACAGGAGCTCACCCCACGACTTCAGAAACTGAAAATCTCTTCTGGTATGAGAGTTGGCTGTCTGCAAGGACGCTGCCCAAGGGACATTGCCCAGATGTGTTACTATCCTGTGGGAGGCTTCTCTCATGTCCCCGCATGAGAACCTGGAGCTGACAGACGGGAGCTCACCCCGCGACTTCAGAAACTGCAAATCTTTTCTGGTATGAGAGAGTTGGCTGTCTGCAAGGACGCTGCCAAAGGGACATTGCCTAGATGCGTTACCATCTTGTGGAGGGCTTCTCTCATGTCCCCGCATGAGAAGCTGGAGCAGACAGACGGGAGTTCACCTCACAACTTGAGATACTGCAAGCCACTTCTGGTGTGATAGAACTGGCCGTCTGCAAGGACGCTGCCCAAAGGACATTGCCTGGATGTGTTACCATCCTGTTGGGAGCTTCTCCCATGTCCCAGGCCCAGAGCTGACCCAGCAGCACATGAGGAGAAATCAGGAGTGTGTCCACACGGCAGAATTAATGCAGTTCGACACCTCTGTCAATGCTATGGCTACAATCCTGAGAGTGATAGTTGGATGGGTGCAGAGAAGGCCGAAGACCGCCCACTACTCTGTGCCAATGGCAGCAAACGGACTATCACACTCCGTAGAGTAGTCCCGGGATTCCCAGGCAGTTGGGACTTCCAGAACTCCAGAAGCCTCACCTGCCTTGGTCAAGGTCCGGGGATCTGGGGAGCTGAAGGAGACGCTGCTGGAGCTGCTCCTGAGGTCTTGGTGCCCCTCATCCCCTCCCTCCCTCCCTCCGGCCCCACAGAAGAGACTCACTGGTTCCTTCGTGGAGAACGTTGTAGAGGGAGCCGTAGGGCATCCAGTGGGTGATGATGATGGGGTGGGGGGCCGGTGGGGACTGGCAGGCGCCCAGGACGGGGAGGACGTTCGGGTGGGAGAAGATCCTGCAAAAGTGGGAAGAGGGAAAGAGAGGGGTCATGCGGGGGCACAGCCTGACCCCCGGTGCCCCCCTCCTCCCATGGGCCGAAGCGCCCCTCCTGCTTCAGAGAGCCCTGAATTCCCCACGCAGGAGGTGCTAGGGCGCCTACCAATTAGCTCGCTGTTTCTAGCAGCCATTCTAGCTGAATGCCTTCTGCGCTCGGTTTCCTTTCGCCTTTCCAGAAATGTGGGTACTTGCAAGTCCTCGTCGCCTGATTCCAATTCCCCCTCTAATTCCCGAAGACTTCCCTGTTCCCCTTCCTCTTCTGAAGACGAGGAATCCCTAACACAAAGGCCCCACCTGAGCTTGGGGTACTCCTCGTTGAAGTCCCGGCTCTTGCGCGTGGTCCAGTCCCGGATCCTGAGCACCTTGATGACGATGTCGTTTCCTTGCCAGCGCCCCTCCCAGAGCTGCGAGAGGAAAGGCAAAGTGAGGAGGGGGTGTATTAGAAGCACTGCTCCCCTGGACACCCCCCTTTTCTTCACCAGGGTTGGGGGAGGAGTAAGCGAGGAAGGGCTCACCTCGCCGGAGTGGTTCTCGTTGATCTTGTGGCCCAGGCTCAGCTGCCGGAAGTCGATGCCCGCCAGCTTGTTCAGCGTCCCGTTCCCTGTGGGAGTAAAGTGGAGAGAAGGGGGGTCTGTCAGGTGGGGGTCCTTGAGTCGCTCCCCAAAGGAGAGACACCCCCCCCACACACACACACACAGCTCCCTCCGGAACCCTGCTTACGGGGCCGGGTCCGAGTGGTGCCCTTCCAGAAGGTGTCCTTGTAGGGGATGCGGGTGAGGCTCTGGCCCAGCTTCTCTGCGCGCTCTGGGAAAGGAAAGAAAGTGAAGGGATGGCTCTGGAGCATTGGGAAGGCAACCCCCTCCGCAAAATTGAGGACCCACAGATGCAGTCTAAACTTGGCCCCCTTCTCTCCCTCAGTCCAAGGGGGAAAGGCTGGGGGTCCTGTCCACCCCTCCTCCATCTCCCCCTCTCTGGAACCCAGCCTGGGCTGACCTTTCAGCAGGTCCCTCAGGGGGGGCTTGGCCTTGTCCAGAGGGGTCTCCCCGTACTTGTTGCAGATGCTGACCAGTCCCCCTGCGGTCACCAGGTCCTGGGGGAAGGGGAGAGGTAGAGAGAGAGAAAGAGAGGCGCAAGGGTGTCAGGAGTCAATTTCTGACGTCATGAAGACATCACAAATTCCCTCCGTGACAGAATCATCCTGGCTGAATCAATTCTCTCTCTGACATTTTGAAGGCAGCAGAGGGCACTGGAAACCTTGTATTAGAACTTGTGAACAACGCGTTCCAATAAGGAAACTGGGAAGAGGGGGAGATGGGCAGGAAAGGTGTATAGAAGGAAGTGGTGGTGGGGAAAAAAATCAGTAGTGTCTTCCTTTGCTGCAGAAATACAAACAATATATCCATTTTAAAGCAAAACGGCTTGTGAGTGGTTATTTAATATTGCTATATAGCTATTGCTATAAAGAACTGGGTCTGAGCTCCTCTAACACCCGTCTATTCTAAGGTTTCAAGAGAGGGAAAAATCTCAATCAGGACATCTCTCCTGACACAACACAAGCAGAGAGAGATCTCAAAGTACACAGCACATATACTCTCCAAAGTAAAGTGTAAGAAGGCAGATTCAAAACGCTTGCAGTAGAAAAGTATCCAATCAGAATGAGAGCAGAAACAGAGAGGAGGAGAGAAGAAAAAGAAGGCATCACATTCCCAACTGTTGGAAGGGAAACCCTTAGCCTATAGCAGGGGTAGGGAACCTTTGGCCCTCCAGCTGTGGTGGACTTCAACTCCCACAATTCCTTGAGGCTCGGCATTCGCCCCAAAGGCTTACCTTGGCCCAATGCCGAGCCTCAAGGAATTGTGGGAGTTGAAGTCCACCACAGCTGGAGGGCCAAAGGTTCCCTACCCCTGGCCTATAGAGTCTTGTTTAACTAACCTTCGCTTATCTGACACTCTGTATTATCCGACGGACCAGCACAGTGGGCCTCTCCACGTGTGGGGTGCTTGCCAGGAGGGAAAAGTCAGTGCCGGCCGCGTTTCCCTCCTCCCAGTGGGCACGCGGCGCTTGGAGAGACCTGCTGCGCATGGCTGAGAAACAGCTATTTTTCTAGGCAGCAATGTGCAGCAGTCCTCTCCATGCGCAGGGCGCCTGAGGGAGTGCAGAGATGCAGCCGGTACAGACTTTTCCCGTTGGGCACAGCGTCCGGCCTGTACCAGCTGTATCATCCTCCCAGTGGATGCCCACCATCTGGGGGCCTGGACCAAATCCACCCCCCATCCCGTCCCGTCCCGTCCCCTCACCTCGGCCACCTCCTCCTGGGCCCAGAAGCAGGCGTAGTGGAGCGGGCTGTTCCCATGTTCATTGACGGCGTTGATGTCGGCCTTGAACTGGATTAACTGCAGGGAGAGAGGTCCAGTTGCAAAGGTCCAGAGGCACCTGTGGGGCCATCCCCTCCCAATTGGGGGGGGGTGCTCTGGTTTGCATGGACCCCCCCCCAAATCCCCCCCCCCGGTCCTGCCCACCTTCTGGACGATGTCGCGGTGCCCGTGGCTGGCGGCCAGGTGCAGGGGGGTGTCGTCCCCCCGGTTCATGACGTTGATGCGTGCCCCGCGCATGACCAGCATGTCCACCACGCTGGAGCGGCCCTCCCGGCAGGCCCAGTGCAGCGGGCTGAAGCCGTGGTCATCCCTGCAAGCGAGACGGAGGGAGAAGGAGGGACGGGGCCCACACGGGGCATCAGGAGCCACAGCATTGCGGAGGGTGGCATCCCAGCCTCGCGGCACTATTATCCTGTTGTGCACCCAACATCTTTCTCTACCCAAAACAAACCTCTTCCCTTTGAGGTCCTTGCTTCTACTTTTTTGTTTACACAAGGGTTCTGGGGGCAGGACTGCGTCAGGAGAAGCAGAAGAAGCCCCCTCCCCACTCTTTGTGGCTCCGGCCAGGCCTCACCTGCATTCAGAGCCTTCTGGGCAAGGTGGAGACGCCCAGAGAAGTGCCCCCAAAATGCTCAAAGGAAACTACGAATCCCTCTGAGGGGGCTGGAGATGTTCAGCCTGAGGAGAATGGGACACAAGGACCACCTCTAATTATAGGAAAGGATGCTTCACTGAGGATGGGGTGGGTGGGCGGGTTGGCGGCTGCTCTGGAGCCTGGGCTGCCATGAGGTCCAATGGCAGGAGAAGACATTCCACCCCAACATTGGGAGAACATCCTGATGGAACGTCCTGAGTGTGTGGTGGCCTCTCATGGAATCACAGAGTTGGAAGAGACCTCCTGGGCCGTCATCCAGTCCAACCCCATTCAAGGTGCTGGTTCTGACCTACAAAACCCTTTACGGTTCCGGTCCAGTGTATCTGTCCGAACGTATCTCCCTCTACGTCCCACCCCGGAATTTGAGATCATCCAGGGAGGCCCTGCTCTCGACCCCACCGCTTTCCCAAGTGAGGCTGGTGAGGACAAGGAGCAGGGCCTTCTCGGTGGTGGCCCCTCACCTGTGGAACTCACTCCCAGGAGAAATTAGGGCATCAACATCCCTCCTCTCCTTCAGGAGGAAGGTAAAGACGTGGTTGTGGGACCAGGCCTTTGGGCAATCTGACAATTAGACATGGACAGCCAGATGGATAGGACTGAAAGGACTGACAATTGTGGAATTGGAATTTGAACGATGAGATTGTGAAACGCTGACCGTCAATGAGGTTTGTACTGGTTTTATTGCTTTTATGGTTGTTTTTGCCTATACTAATTATTATTTTTCTGTTAATTGTTGTTATTGCCAGAATGCTGTTTTGTTAACTGATGTTATTGTCTTTTGCTGTTATGTGACACGGGCATCGAACTGTGCCTCGCTTTTGTAAGCCGCCCTGAGTCCCCCCCGGGGTGAGAAGGGCGGGGTAGAAGCAACCGAAATAAAATAAATAAATAAATGCTGCCAAGAAGCAGGAAAATTACACTCAAAGCACCCCCGACAGACGGCCATCCAGCTTCTGTTTCAAAGCTTCCAAAGAAGGAGCCACCACCACACTCCCTCCAGGGCAGAGAGTTCCACTGCTGAACGGCTCTCAGAGTTGGAAGTTCTTCCTAATATTCAGGTGGAATCTCCTTTCCTGTAGTTTGAAGCCATGGCTCTAATGCATCCTAGTATTTTTGTATTGTAATTTATTGTTCGGGCTTGGCCCCATGTAAGTTGGAAAGGACTATGACAATCCTAAACGGATTGACGGATTTTAGAACACGATGAACGCAGGCTTTAGAGCGGTTTTAGTTGATATGGTATTGTGTTATATTGTACTGTATTAATTGTCTGTTTTTTAATCTACTGTGTTATTGTTATTGCGTTTTATTGTAATTGTGGGCATCGAACTGTGCCGGATGTAAGCCGCCTTGAGTATCCCCTCGGGGGTGAGAAAGGCGGGGTACAAATGACCGAAATAAATAAATAAATAAATAAATAAACCGATTATTATTATTATTATTTTACTGACACAAACACACAGTATGTCACAGCAGACGAGATCTCTATGCTGGATTTCGTATCACAAAATCACAAGTCTTCCCAAGCGTCTCGGGCTGTGTGATGTATTTCCAAATGTATTATTATTATTATTATTATTATTATTATTATTATTATTATTGTCAGGAGGGGCTGGACGGCCATCTGCCGGGAGAGCTTTGGCTTGGAGTGGGTGTCCCCCTTGGGGGTCTCTTCCAGGCCTGATGTTGTGCGTCTGCCCGCGCACCAGCCTCACCCCGGAGGGCCCTCCTCCCTCCCTCCCTCCCTTTCCGTTCCCTTCCCGGCCATAAAAGGAGATCTGAGCCAGGAAGCCGCTGTGGCTGCAGCCGCCTCCTCCTTCTCTGGACAGAAAGGCCACAAAGAGGAACAGGGGGAGGGAAGAAGCCACCGGCAACGCCAAGAGCTCCTTTGCAGACACTAATCGGGTGCCAGGGCTGGAAGGGGCCCCAAAGGGCCCCGCTGCCCATCCACCCCAGATTAGCTGCTTTGGACCGGATGAGGCGGCAGTGTAGATCCATCCCCAAAGTGTTGACCCTCCTCCCCTCCCCTCTCCTCACCCCAGGCCCCACACGGACGCTCCAGCATGATTATCATTATTACTAACTTTATTGATATCCTGCCTTTCTCCCCACAAGGGTTTTTTTGGGATAGGAGTGTGAGAGAATTGGCTGTCTGCAAGGACGTTGCCATGGGGACATTGCCCAGAATTGGCTATCTGCAAGGATGTTGCCCAGGGGATGTTGCCCAGAATTGGCCATCTGCAAGGACATTGCCCAGGGGACGTTGCCCAGAATTGGCCATCTGCACGGATGTTGCCCAGGGGATGTTGCCCGGAATTGGCCGTCTGCAAGGATGATGCCATGGGGACATTGCCTGGAATTGGCCGTCTGCAAGGACGTTGCCATGGGGATGTTGCCCAGGGGATGTTGCCCAGAATTGGTTATCTGTAAGGATGTTGCCCAGGGGATGTTGCCCAGAATTGGCTGTCTGCAAGGATGTTGCCCATGGGACGTTGCCCAGAATTGACCATCTGAAAGGATGTTGCCCAGGGGATGTTGCCCAGAATTGACCGTCTGCAAGGATGTTGCCCAGGGGAAGTTGCCCAGAATTGGCCGTCTACAAGGACATTGCCCAGGGGACAATGCCCAGAATTGGCTGTCTGCAAGGACATTGCCCAGGGGATGTTGCCCAGAATTGTCCGTCTGCAAGGACGTTGCCCATCTTATGGCCATCTAAAACATCTCAAGGTATCTCCAACTTATGGCAATCTAAAACATCTCAAGGTATCTCCAACTTATGGTCATCTAAAACATCTCAAGGTATCTCCATCTTATGGTCATCTAAAACATTTCAAGGTATCTCCATCTTATGGCCATCTAAAACATCTCAAGGTATCTCCAACTTATGGCCATGTAAAACATCTCAAGGTATCTCCATCTTATGGTCATCTAAAACATCTCAAGGTATCTCCATCTTATGGCCATATAAAACATCTCAAGATATCTCCAACTTATGGCCATCTAAAACATCTCAAGGTATCTCCAACTTATGGCCATCTAAAACATCTCAAGGTATCTCCATCTTATGGCCATCTAAAAAATCTCAAGGTATCTCCATCTTATGGTCCTAAAACATCTCAAGGTATCTCCAAATTATGGCCATCTAAAACATCTCAAGGTATCTCCAACTTTTGGTCATCTAAAACATCTCAAGGTATCTCCAACTTATGGCCATCTAAAACATCTCAAGGTATCTCCATCTTATGGTCATCTAAAACATCTCAAGGCATCTCCAACTTATGACCATCTAAAACATTTCAAGGTATCTCCATCTTATGGTCATCTAAAACATCTCAAGGTATCTCCAACTTATGGCCATCTAAAACATCTCAAGGTATCTCCAACTTTTGGTCATCTAAAACATCTCAAGGTATCTCCAACTTATGGCCATCTAAAACATTTCAAGGTATCTCCAACTTATGGCCATCTAAAACATCGCAAGGTATCTCCAACATATGGTCATCTAAAACATCTCAAGGTATCTCCAACTTTTGGTCATCTAAAACATCTCAAGGTATCTCCAACTTATGGCCATCTAAAACATTTCAAGGTATCTCCAACTTATGGCCATCTAAAACATCGCAAGGTATCTCCAAGTTATGGTCATCTAAAACATCTCAAGGTATCTCCAACTTATGGCCATCTCATAGAATCCTACAGTTGGAAGAGACCTGGTGGACCATCATCCAGTCCATCCTCATTCTGCCAAGAAGCAGGACAAGCGCACTCAAAGCACCCCCTGACAGATGGCCACCCAGCCTCTACATCAAAGACTCCATTGAAAGAGCCACCACCACACTCCAAGGCAGAGAGTTCCACTGCTGAACAGCTCTCTCACACAGTTGGGAAGTTCTTCCTAATGTTGTTACTATTATGATTGTTTATTCTTTTGGGGTTCCCCTCAATGACATATTTTCTTTCCTACCTCATCCAGGGTTTTATCATTTCACTTCGTCCATTTCGCCTGCCCATTCTGTTTGATTTTATATTGTGTTAATTTATTTATCCTATTTTGCTACTGTACGTATTTTATTTTGATGTAATTTTTTGTTGTCTGCATCCTGTATCTTATTTTGTATTGCTATTTTTGTGCTTGGCCTCATGTTAGCCGCACCGAGTCCCCTTTGGGGAGATAGTGGCGGGGTATAAAGATTATTATTATTATTATTATTATTATTATTATTATTATTTGATGCACAATAAGATGAATCCACAGCAGACAAGGTCACTCTGCTGGCGATTGTATTGGATCACACGTTGGACACTTCCCAAGTGTCTAGGACTATTATTACTATTGTGATTATTATTATTATTAAGGGTTTAGGGCTACTATTATGATGATGATGATTATTATTATTATTAAGTGTCTAGGTCTATTATTATTATTGTGATGATGATGATGATTATTAAGTGTCTAGGACTATTATTATTATTGTGATGATGATGATTAAGTGTCTAGGATTATTATTATTATTATTATTGTGATAATGATGATGATGATTAAGTGTCTAGGACTATTATTATTATTATTATTGTGATGATGATGATGATGATTAAGTGTCTAGGATTATTATTATTATTATTATTGTGATAATGATGATGATGATTAAGTGTCTAGGACTATTATTATTATTATTATTATTATTATTATTGTGATGATGAGGATTATTATTATTATTAAGTGTCTAGGACTATTATTATTGTGATTATTATTATTGTTATTAAGTGTCTAGGATTATTATTATTATTGTTAGCCACCCCAAGTCGGGAGATGGTGGCGGGGTATAAATGAAGATTATTATTATTATTATTATTTGAAACACTACAAGATGAGTCCACATGTTGGACATCTCCCAAATGTCTAGGATTATTATTATTATTATTGTGATGATGATGATGATGAGGTGTCTAGGATTATTATTATTATTATTATTATTATTGTGATTATTATTATTGTTAGCCGCCCTGAGTTGGGAGGTGGGGGCGGGGTATAAATAAAGATTATTATTATTATTATTTGAAACACTACAAGATGATGATGATGTCTTATTATTATTAAGTGTCTAGGACTATTATTATTATTATTATTATTATTATTGTGATTATTATTATTATTATTATTATTATTATTGTATTGTCGAAGGCTTTCATGACTGGAATCACTGGGTTGTTGTAGGTTTTTCCAGGCTATATGGCCATGTTTCGCCTGCATCTATGGCAAGCATCCTCAGAGGTAATGACCTCACTACCTCTGAGGATGCTTGCCATAGATGCAGGCGAAACGTCAGGAGAAAAATTGCCTCCAGAACATGGCCATATAGCCCGGAAAAACCTACAACAACCCATTACTATTATTATTATTATTTGAAACACTAGAAGATGATTATTATTATTATTATTATTATTGTGATTATGATTATTATTATTAAGTGTCTAGGACTGTTATTATTATTATTATTATTAAGATTATTATCATTGTGATGATGACTATTATTAAGTATCTAGGATTATTATTATTAATACTATTGTGATCATGATTATTATTAAGTATCTAAGACTATTGTTGTTGTTGTTGTTGTTGTTGTGATGATGAGGAGCCAACCCCTCCGGACAGAGGGCCAGCAGCCCCATTTGAAAGGTCCCAGAAGGAGGCCTGTCTCCATGCTGGATTGGGAGAGCACCCCCCCCCCCCCCCCCCCCCCACCCCCCAAGGGCCCCGTTTAACCCCTCCCGGCAGAGGGCCAGCAGGCCTGCCTCCTCCCTCCTCCCTCCCTCCCTGCCTCCCTTGTGCCATGGAGGGACCCGTCCCGACCCCTCCCGACAGAGGTCCCCCCCGCTGCCCCTGGGAGTGACTGACTGACCCTTGGTTGAGGTCATTCTCGGTGTTGTCCAGCCAGAGCCGCACGGCCACGGCGTTGCCCTCCCGGCACTGCGCGAAGATGTCGTCCATGGCCGGACTGCAAGGAAGGGAGGAAGGCAGGCAGGCAGGCAGGAAGGCCCCTCCTCAGCTCTCCCTCCTTCGTGGCTGTGGCTGTGCGTGGATCTCCCCCCCGAGGCGGCGCCCACTCCCTGCTACCCGGAGGAGATGCTCCGCAGCGGGCCCTCCTGGCCGGGAGCGGGACTGCAAGGGCGGAGCCCACACTACCATTACTACTACCACAAGGCCGCACCGAGGGAGGGAGCCTCCAGGGGGCGCTCTCTCCTTCTCCCTCTCTATCGCCGGAACTTACTTCCTTCCTACTACCACAAGGCAGCACCGAGGGAGGGAGGGAGGGAGGGAGCCAGCCTCCAGGGGGCGCTCTCTCCTTCCCCCTCTCCCTCTCTATCGCCGGAACTGACTTCTTTCCTTCCCTTCTTCCTTCCTTCCGGTCCGCAGCGTGCCACTTCCGTTCTTCCCTCCTTCCTGCCTTGCTCCACCGCCGGGAAAAGGATGTTCGAGGAGGGCGAGTGGGACGAGGCCGGGACCTCGGTGGGGACGACGGCGCCCTGGGGACCCCCTAAGAGGGCGGGCAAGGTGAGGAGAAGGGGTGGCTGGGGGTCCTCTGGGACTCTGGTTTGGGCCTTAGAATCATACAATTCTCGAGTTGGCTACCATCCAGGGCAGTCACGTTCAAAACACCCCCAACAGATGGCCATCCAGCCTCTGCTTCAAAGCCTCCAAAGAAGGAAGGAGCCTCCACCACACTCCACGGCAGAGAGTTCCACTGCTGAACAGCTCTCAGAGTTAGGAAGTTCTTCCTCATGTTGTTACTGTTATTATTGTTGGGATGATGAGCCAACCCCTCCAAACAGATGGCCGTCCAGCCTCTGCTTCAAAGCCTCCAAAGAAGGAAGGAGCCTCCTCCGCCACACTCCAAGGCAGAGAGTTCCAACACTGAACAGCTCTGACTTAGGAAGTTCTTCCTCACGTTGTAACTATTATTATTATTGTGATGATGAGCCAACCCCTCCAAACACATGGCCATCGATCCTCTGCTTCAAAGCCTCCAAAGAAGGAAGGAGCCTCCGCCACACTCCACGGCAGAGAGTTCCACTGCTGAACAGCTCTCAGAGTTAGTAAGTTCTTCCTCACATTGTAACTATTATTATTATTGTGATGATGAGCCAACCCCTCCAAACACATGGCCATCGAGCCTCTGCTTCAAAGCCTCCAAAGAAGGAAGGAGCCTCCGCCACACTCCACAGCAGAGAGTTCCACTGCTGAACAGCTCTCAGAGTTAGGAAGTTCTTCCTCATGTTGCTACAGGGCCTTTTCTGTGGTGGCCCCCCGACTCTGGAACACCCTCCCCAAAGATCTTAGACAGGCCCCTACAGAAAGAACTTGAAGACCTGGCTGTTCCGATGTGCCTTCCCAGAATAGGAATCTCCAATACCAAGTCCCATAAGCACTTTAGTAGAACTAAGATCGCTGCACACCGCACACTGCACGTACCCTATAATCCTACATACCTCCTGCCACATCAGCACTTTTAATCTTGTACCCATTACTCTGGCCCGGCCCAGTTTTATAGTGTCTTGATGTATTGTTTATTGCTTGTTGTTTATTCTACTTAACTGTTTTTTAATTTGCTTTAGGTATTGTATTGTTGTATGGTGTTTTGAGGCCTTGGCCTGTGTAAGCTGCATCGAGCCCTTCGGGAGATGCTAGCAGGGGACAAATAAAGTTATTATTATTATTATTATTATTATTATTATTATTATTATTGTGATGATGAGCCAACCCCTCCAATTATTATTATTATTGTTGTGATGATGAGCCACAGATGGTCATCCAGCACTATTATTATTGTTGTTGTGATGAAGAGCCAACCCCTCCAAACAGATGGCCATCCAGCCTCTGCTTCAAAGCCTCCAAAGAAGGAAGGAACCTCCACCACACTCCCTCTGAAGCAAGAGTTCTCACAGGATTCCACCAGAACAGTTAGGAAGTTCTTCCCAATGTTCAGGTGGAATCCCCCTTTCCTGTAGTTATTTGTGTTCTGGCATTGAATGTTTACTATTTTTGATATTTGTTGTGACCTGCCCTGAGTCCCTTTGGGGAGAGAGGGCGAGGGTGTTCCCTCGCTACTTCATGGTTCTCTTTTAGCGGACTTGCTGTTTTGCGGGTTTTTGAAAATATATATATATATGTAACATAAAATATTTACATCCAGTAGAGGCCAGGGATCCCAGAAGTGCAGCGCAGAAGGCCTGCCTCATAGAATCGTAGAATTGGAAGAGACCTTGTAGGCCATCCAGTCCAACCCCATTCTGCCAAAAAGCAGGAATATCACATTTAGAGCACCCCCGACAGAAGGCCATCCAGCCTCTGTTTAAAAGCATCCAAAGAAGGAGCCTCCACCACACTCCTCAAGGGGCAGAGAGTCCCCTGCTGAACAGCTCTCACAGTCAGGAAGTTCTTCCTCATGTTCAGATGGAATCTCCTTTCTTGTAGTTTGAAGCCATGGCTCCATTGTGTCCTAGTCTCCAGGGCAGCAAAAAGAAAGCATCCTGCCTCCGCCCTATGTCTTCCCCTCACATATTTATACTCTTCCAAGTCTAGGATTCTATGATTCTAAAGCAGTCTTGGGTGACCCCATGTGGTCTCTTCCAACTCTATGAGTCTATGAATCTATGTGTCTGTGATCCGTTGTTTCCTCCCTGCAGGCCCCCCCAGCCCCGAGCGGCTCCCACCAGCGCCTCCGCCTCCTGGCCACGCTTCGTCGCCTGGAAGGCTTGGGGGGTGTCCAGAAGGCCCTGCTTAGCCCCACCTCCTCTGGGTCAGAAGGGGAAGAGGATGAGGAAGGCAGTGGGGAGGAAGAGGAGAAGCCCCTGCGGAAGCGGAGGAAGAGGAAGCCCAGGAGGACGCGGCAGCGGGAGGAGCAGCCCTGCCTCCCCTCGGGAGCCGAGAAGAAGGGGGACCACCAGCAGAAGCAGCTGGGCAACAATGGTGGGTGGCCGGGCTGAGGCCCCATTCATTAGTAACATAACACTGTAGCCCAGGCATGGGCCAACTTCCGCCCTCCCTCCAGGAGTTTTGGACTTCAACTCCCAATGTTGGAGGAATTGTGGGACTTGTAGTCCAAAACAACTGGAGGGCCAAAGTATGAGCCAGCACTACCTACGTATAAGTGTATGGTAGGATAAAGAGGAGAAACGTGTGCAGGAAGACGCCTTGGCAAGGAGCAAAGAAAAGGTAAACAATGACTTTGATTCTTGTGCATAATAATAATAACTTTATTACTGAAGGGACTCAGGGCATCTTACAAAGGGAGCACAAAGTTAAAAATATAACAAAATAAGATAGCATCAAAACAAAACCAAATAAAAGCATATCAGAATAAATCATAACATCACAAAAACAGAACCATACAGAACAATAAAAGTGCTGAGTTCAGAGAGCTCTGGGTTTGTGCAAATTCCTAGATAGAGCAAAGGGAAAGTGCAAAATTCAGAAAGGCAGGGCTGAGAGGATAATGTACATGGGCATGAAAATGTCAGGATTGTAGAGCAGAGGGCTGGGACTTAGGTAACATTGGGCCAATTTATTGTTGAAGGCTTTCATGGCTGGAATCACTGGGTTGCTGTAGTTTTTTCAGGCTATATGGCCATGTTCTAGAGGCATTCTCTCCTGACCTTTCACATGCATCTATGGCAAGCATCCCATAGGATGCTTGCCGTAGATGGAGGTGAAAGGTCAGGAGAGAATGCCTCTAGAACAGGGGTCCTCAAACTTTTCAGACAGAGGGCCAGGTCACAGTCCGTCAAACTGTTGGAGGGCCGGATTATAATTTGGAAAAAAAAATGAATGAATTCCTATGCACGCTGCACCAGTGTCAAGACCTTGCGTCTAACAGCAACCAGGCGCAGAGCCTTCACAGCAGTGGCACCATCACTGGAACACTCTGCCACCTGAAGTCCGTGCCTTGCGGGCCTTACCAGCTTTCTGCAGGGCATGGAAGACATACCTGTTTCGACAGACTTTTAATGTTTGATATTGTTGTTTTTAAATTGTTTTAAACTGCTTTTAAATTTTGTTAGATTTTAGCTATTTTTGTAAGCCGCTCCGAGCCCCAGAGAAGTGGCGGCATATAAGTTTAAATAATAAATAAATAAATCTTATTTGTAGTGCAAAAATACTTAAAAGAATACAATAATTAAAATGAAGAACAATTTTTAACAAATATAAACTTATTAGAATTTCAATGGAAAGTGTGGGCCTGCTTTTGGCTCAAGAGATAGGATTGTTGTTGTTGTGTGTTTTCATGTCAATCCAGCCTTAGGTTGACCTTGAGCGAGGGCCGGGTAAATGACCTTGAGCGAGGGCCGGGTAAATGACCTTGGAGGGCTGCATCCGGCCCCCGGGCCTTAGTTTGAGGACCCCTGCTCTAGAACATGGCCATATAGCCTGGAAAACCTACAACAACCCATTGGGCCAATTCTTAGGAACTGCCTAGTCCAGTGTTTTTCAACCTTCCTAATGCCGCGACCCCTAAATACAGTTGCTTATGATGTGCTGACCCCCAACCATAACATTACTTTCGTTGCTACTTGATACTCGTCATTTTGCTACTCTTATGAATTTGAATGTAAATATCTGATATGCAGGATGTATTTTCATTCACTGGACCAAATTTGACACAATTATTATGATTATTAAGTGTTTAAGATTATTATTATTATTATTATTGTTATTATTAAATGTATAGGACTACTACTATTATTGTTATCATCATTAGTAAGTGTCTAGGACTATTATTATTATTATTAAGTGTCTAGGATTATTATTATTGTTACTATTATGATGATGATGATTATTAAGTCTCTCAGACTATTATTATTATTAGGTGTCTAAGACTATTATTATTATTATTATTATTATTAAGTGTCTAGGACACTTATACCCAATACACCCAAATTTGAATACTGGTGGGTTGGGGGGGGGGGTTGATTTTATTATTTAGGAGTTGTAGTTGCTGGGCTATATTAGGGTTCACCTACAATCAAAGAGTATTCTGAACTCCGCCAACGATAGAATTGAACCCAAGGTGGCACACAGAACTCCCACGACCAATAGAAAATACTGGAAGGGTTTGGTGGGCATTGACCTTAAGTTTTGGGGTTGTAGTTCACCCACATCCAGAGAGCACTCAAACAATGATGGATCTGGACCAACCTTAGCATGAATACTCAATATGCCCAGATGTGAACACTGGTGGAGTTTGGGGGAAATAGACCTTGACATTTGGGAGTTGTAGTTGCTGGGATTTATAGTTCACCTGCTATCAAAGAGCATTCTGAACCCCACCAATGATAGAATTAGCCCAAACTTTCCACAGAGAAGCCCATGACCAACAGAAAATACTGTGTTTTCTGATGGTCTTTGGCGACCCTTCTGACACCCCCTCGTGACCCCCCCCGGGGTCCTGACCCCCAGGTTGAGAACCACTGGCCTAGGTTTTAAATGCTGTATGTTATTAATATTGTTATTGTTTATTGCTTATTGTGTATTTTCTGTTCATGAGATTTATTTTAACTGTTTTGTATTGACTATTTGTTATCGCCTTTGTTTATTGATGTTTTGCGGGCTCGGCCTCATGTAAGCCGCACCGAGTCCTTTGGGGAGATGGTGGCGGGGTAGAAATAAAGTATTATTATTATTATTATTATTATTATTATTATTATTATTATTATTATTATTAGTCAAAGGCACAGTACATCTCTGATAAAACAGACAAAAGAAAATTATCCAACTTTTGCAGAAGAGTCCCCAAAGCTGACTCTCATGATGAATGGATGTGTAACTTTATTGCCATGGTGCTATTGCACAACGAAATTATATGCCTTCCCCAGCATCGTGCACACCACAAAACAACACACCCATCCCTCCACACTCCTCCCACCCCTGCGTAGCCCCCAATGACATATCATTGAAAAACCATGGAGTTTGGTATAGCCACAGCTCTAGGACAAAAGCTGTTTGTCCTTGTCTTTGTCACCCTGTACTGTCTGCCAGGTGGCAATAATTCATAAAAATTCGGTTCATATCTGTGTGCCAGGCATCTTGAGGCAAAGAGGAACCTCACAGCGCTCCCTTCTTAAACAAAAGGAGCAAGGAAAGCACACTAAGGACTTTTGGGAAGAAGGAAATGACCTTTGCAAGTGGGGCAGGAAAGAGAACTGCCTTGAGCTAGACAGAGCCAAAGCAAGGCAGCAGGCAGGCACTGCAGGATTTCCTCTGTCCTGAGGAGTGTTGATGCACCCAGTGCAGTGAGTGCTTTTCTTCCCAGGTGAGGCAGCACCTTTGGAGCCCAGAACCGAGCCCTTCACCTGCAGGAAGACCCCTGGGAGCGAGGAGGGGACCGCAAAGGAGGAGCCGAAAGGGCCGCTACTGAATAGGAAGCAGTGGAGGAACCGCCAGAAGAACAAGCGTCGGCAGAAGAACAAGTACAAGAGCCCCGGGGACGCCTCTGCCGCAGGGGCCCCCCCAGCGGACGTAGCCCAGCCCCCAGACCCAGGAGAGCCCCTTGGCAGCCCAGGAAGGGGGGCAGAAGGGGAGGCTGTGGTGGCGCTCCCAGAGGCCGAAGGGGGGCGGGGGGCGTCCCTGCGGCTGCGCATGGAGGAGCGCCTGGAGGCCGCGCGCTTCCGCTTCCTCAACCAGCAGCTGTACTGCCGGCCCAGCCAGGAAGCGGGGCAGCTCTTCAAGGAGGACCCCCAGGCCTTCGCCATCTACCACCGGGGATTTGCCCGGCAGATGGACCGCTGGCCGGAAAAGCCTGTCCAGCGCATTGTGCGCTACCTGCGCCACAGGTGAGAACTCCCCTTCCCCCTTTGCCTGTGCCCCTCAGGCGACACTTGCTGAGTTGACTTGAGGATGATGATGATGATTATTTGATGCAACAACAAAATTACTCCTGTTTCTCCTTATCTCACTCGAGTTCTTAATCAGTTTTTAATTAGTTTTCTTTTAATCATTACATGTAGCCTGCCCATTGTAATATACAACTGTCATTGTGATTGTGTTTGTTGTAATTCTATATTGTTATGTATTCATATGTGTTATGTAATTATGATGTTGTTTGTTGTTTGCGTTTTCCGTTTTCTTCTGCTGTAATTTGTTGTCTGGGCTTGGCTTCATGTAAGCCGCCCCGAGTCCCCAGCAGGGAGATGGTGGCAGGGTATAAATAAAGATTATTATTATTATTATTATTATTATTATTATTATTATTACTCCACAGCCAACAAGATCACTTTTCTGGCTTTTGTATATCGTCACACGTCAGACACTTCCCAAGTGTCTAGGACTATGTGATGTATTGGCAAATAATGTGTACAGATCCAAATAGCGTGACTATTATTATTATTATTATTATTATTATTATTATTATTATTACCCCACTCTATCTCTCCCAGAGGAGACGCAAATTGGCATTAAAAGCATGACCGTACAATTTGAAATAAATAACTATAAAAATTAGAAGGAATCCCGTAGAAATATTACTTTTAATTTAAAAAAGAAGATGGAAAAGAAGGGGGAAAAAATCATTGACATGCTAGATTATTAATTGCAAAATATTGGAAAGGGGAAATGAAAATACAGATTAGTGAATGGTATAAGGAAGTCTGGAAAATGGCACCAAACCATATGCTAATGTGACTGAGGCTGCCAAGGTGGAAAAGGAAGGGGCCTGAGGCTGTTAGGAATGGTGGGAGTTGAAGTCCAAAACACCTGGAGGGAGAGAGGGAGGGCCCAAGTTGGCCAGTGCCTGAGCTAAATAGTTGAGAGGATGCCTTTGTGGCCCTTGTGGCCTCTTCCAGCTCAACTAGGATTCCATGGCTCTCACCCCACTGCTCTCTCCTCCCTCTCAACCCAGGCCGGCTTCTCTGGTGGTGGCCGACTTTGGCTGTGGCGACTGCACTCTTGCGCGCAGCGTCCGGAACCAGGTGCACTGCTTCGACCTGGAGGCGCTGGACCCGCGTGTCACCGTCTGCGACATGAGCCAGGTGCGGAGGGGAGGGCCGTGGCACTGATGGCCGCGGCTGGGGCTCCTTCAGGCAAGCAGTTCCCCTGAGAGACCCATTGGGCCCCGTGAGCTGGTGGCCCCCTGCCCCTCACCTTGTTCTTCTTTGCTCCGCTCAGGTCCCTCTGGAAGACGAGTCGGTGGACGTGGCCGTCTTCTGCTTGGCCCTCATGGGGACCAACGTGCAAGAGATCCTGGCGGAGGCCAGCCGAGTGCTGCGCATCGGGTGAGTGTCTGCTGCAGGCCTCAAAATAATCACATTTTCTAACATTGGTGGAGACATGATAGCCATGTATAAATATGTGAGCGAAAGTCCTAGGGAGAGGGGAGCAGGCTTGTTTTCTGCTGCCCTGGAGACCAGGACGCAATGGACCAATAATAATAATAATAATAAAAACAATGCAAAGACTCTGGCACAAGCCAGTAAAGATGGTCCCAGTGGTGATCGGCACACTGGGCACAACGCCCAAAGACCTTGCCCTGCACTTAAACACAATCGGCACTGCCAAAATCACCATCTGCCAGCTGCAGGAGGCCACCTTACTGGGATCTGCACACATTATTCGCCGATACACCACACATTCTTGCGAGGAGACCTTGATAGTTTCCGCAGTCTGTTCTTATCCCTTTTTTGAAGAGGATGATGATGGTGGCATCCTGGAAATCTGCTGGGATTTTCTTGGTCATTCACACTTTTTCTATGAGCTGGTGGAGTTGGTGTGTCAGCTCGCCATCCTCCCAAAAATCGGGTGCCCAAACAAATTTGTGAACATCCTGCGGCTCCTCCATGATGACAACAGTTCTGGACAGCAATGGCTCCCAAAGTAACCCATTTGAAGTGGAATCTGGTGTCAAACAGGGATGTGTTATTGCCCCAACTCTATTCTCCATCCTCATCGCTATGATACTTCACCTTGTTGACGGGAAGCTTCCCACCGGAGTGGAAATCATCTATCAGACAGATGGCAAGCTGTTTAACCTCAGCAGACTGAAAGCCAAAACCAAGGTCACAACAACATCTGTTATAGAACTCCAGTATGCTGATGACAACCTCGTCTGTGCGCATTCAGAATAAGATCTACAAGCCACTCTAAACACCTTTGCAGAAGCATATGAGAAGCTCGGCCTGTCACTGAACATTGAGAAAACCAAGGTGCTGTTCCAGCAGTCACCAGCCACCCCCTCCCCAATGCCAGTAATACAGCTTAATGGTGTAACATTAGAAAATGTGGACCATTTCCGCTCCCTTGGCAGCCACCTCTCCACCAAAGTCAACATCGACACCGAAATACTACACCGCCTGTGCTCTGCAAGTGCAGCATTTTCCCGAATGAAGCAGAGAGTGTTTGAGGACCGGGACATCCGTAGGGAGACCAAGGGGCTTGTTTATAAAGCTATTGTCCTCCCAACCCTGCTATTTGCCTGCGAGACGTGGACTGTCTACAGACATCACATGCAACTCCTGGAACGATTCCATCAGCGCTGCCTCCGGAAAATCCTGCAAATCTCTTGGGAAGACAAGCGGACAAACGTCAGTGTGCTGGAAGAAGCAAAGACCACCAGCATTGAAGCGATGGTCCTCCAACATCAACTCCGCTGGGCCGGCCACGTTGTCCGGATGCCTGACCACCGTCTCCCAAAGCAGTTGCTCTACTCTGAACTTAAGAACGGAAAACGGAACCTTGGTGGACAGGAAAAGAGATTGAAAGATGGGCTCAAATCCAACCTTAAAAACTCTGGCATAGACACTGAGAACTGGGAAGCCCTGGCCCTTGAGCGCTCCAGCTGGAGGTCAGCTGTGACCAGCAGTGCTGCAGAATTTGAAGAGGCACGAATGGAGGGTGAAAGAGAGAAATGTGCCAGGAGGAAGGCGCGTCAAGCCAACCCCGACCGGGACCGCCTTCCACCTGGAAACCAATGCCTTCACTGCGGGAGAAGATGCGGGTCAAGAATAGGGCTCCACAGCCACCTACGAATCCACAAGGAAACCCATCATGGAAGACCATCTTACTTGTCCAACGAGGGATCGCCTAAGTAAGTAAGTAAGGTGGAGGCTACTTCTTTGGAGGCTTTTAAGCAGAGGCTGGATGGCCATCTGTTGAATGTGTCCAGAGGGGGGAAAGTCATGCTCCCCATGCTCTATTCTGCCTTGGTTAGACTACACCTGGAATACTGTGTCCACAATTGAAGGGAGATGTTGACTCTAAGCTGGAATGTGTCCAGAGGAGGGCGACTCAAAGGATCAAGGGTCTGGAGAACAAGCCCTATGAGGAGCGGCTTAAAGAACTGGGCATGTTTAGCCTTCAGAATCTCCTCTCTTGTAGTTTGAAGCCATTGTTCCATTGCGTCCTAGTTTCCAGGGAAGCAGAAAACAAGCTTGCTCCCTCCTCCCTGTGGCTTCCTTCTCACATATTTATACATGGCCCTCATCATATCTCCTCTCAGCCTTCTCTTCTTCAGGCTAAACATGCCCAGCTCCTTAAGCCGCTCCTCACAGGGCTTGTTCTCCAGACCCTTGATCGCTTTAGTCGCCCCCCTCTGGGCTTGCTGCTGCTTGTGTGGCTCCGGGGGCTCTGCGGAGTCCAGGGAAGAATAATAATAATAATAATAATAATAATAATAATAATAATACTTTATTTGTACCCCGCTACCATCTCCCCCAGGGACTTGGTGTGGCTTACATGAGGCTGAGCCCACAATACATCAGCAAAACAACAATAACAGGAATACAAAACAATAAAATGAAACTCATAAACAAAAAACAAGCAGTAAGCATTAACAATAGCACAACAACGCTTAAAAACCTATGGCTGGGCCAAATGTAATAATTAATTTTTTTAAAAAAAATAATGCTGAGCATGACCAGGTGAAATATATAACTAGGATAGAATTTTGGAGAGAAAAGGGCGTGCAGACAATCCTAGACCATTGATAAAGTGCATTTTGGGACATATTGCTGGGAGTTTCCTTATTCCTGGAAGGCACACTGGAACAACCATGTCTTCAGGCTCCTCCTAAAGACTGCCAAAGTTGGGGCCTGCCTGATGTCCTTGGGAAGTGAGTTCCAGAGTCGAGGGGCCACCACTGAGAAGGCCCTCTCCCTCGTCCCCACCAAATGCGCTTGTGATGCAGGTGGGAGCGCGAGCAGCGCCTCTCCAGATGATCGAAGAGATTGTGTGGGTTCGTATACAGAAATGTGGTCAGGCAGGTAGGCAGGTCCCAAACCGTTCAGGGCTTTGGAGGTAAGAACCTGCACCTTGAATTGGGTTTGGAAAATGAAGGGCAGCCAATGGAGATCCTTAAACAGGAGGGTTGACCACTCCCTGTAAGGAGCCCCAGTTAACAACCTGGCAGCCGCCCGTTGAACCAATTGAAATTTCCAGGCCGTTTTCAAGGGCAGCCCCACGTTGAGTGCATTACAGTAGTCCAATCAGGGAAGCAGGCAGGTGCTCTTGGGATGGGCTGGGAGGCGGTTAAGGAAGCACGGATAAGAAAATAATACATAAAATATATAAAATAATGTAAAAATATTAAAATTAATATGGCGTCCCTACTTTGCGGATTTTCACTTGTCACGGGTGGTCCTGGAATGGAACCCCCCCAACCCCCACCCCGCAATAAGTGAGGGAACACTTTGTTGTTGTTGTTGAAGTCCAAAACACTGGAGGAGGGTCCAGGTGTTTCCCATTCCGACCCTCCCTTACCCCCCTCCCTCTTTCCCCACAGGGGGACGTTGCTGGTGGCGGAGGTGGCCAGCCGCTTCTCGGATGTGCGGGCCTTCGTGGGGGCCGTGTCCGCACTGGGCTTCTCCCTCCGCGCCAAGGTAAGGCCCACTGGAAGGAGGAGGAGAAGGGGGCCGACCCCACAGCCTGCCTTCTCCCTATTTCTTTTTATTATTATTTTATTATTATTATACTAGCTCTCCCCTGTGGCCCAGTCTGTGTATATGTATTTTGTGTATGTATATATTTGTGTGTATATGTGTGTTTGCGTATATATATGTGTGTGTGGTTTTGCACATGTGCTGTAATGTAGTTTTTGTTTTTTTGGCTTTTTAAGTCTCTTCTGCTGTGTTTTTCAGTGTTTTTATGAGTGACGGTCACACGTTGGCCTGAAAGGTGTATTGTGTCCAAATTTGGTGTCAATTCATCCAGTGGTTTTTGAGTTATGTAAATCCCACAAACAAACATTACACTTTTATTTATATAGATACTAGCCGTCCCCTGCCACGCGTTGCTGTGGCCCACATGGGGGTTCTGTGTGGGAGGTTTGGCCCAATTCTATCGTCGGTGGGGTTCAAAATGCTCTGTGATTGTAGGTGAACTATAAATCCCAGCAACTACAACTTCCAAATGTCAAGTCTATTTTCCCCAAATTCCACCAGTGTACACATTTGTGCATATGGAATATTAGTTCCAAATTTTGTCCAGATCCATCATTGTTTGATTCCACAGTGCTCTCTGGATGTAGGTGAACTACAACTCCCAAACTCAAAGTCAATGCCCCCCAAATCATTCCAGTATATATCCGTTAGTCATGGGAGTTCTGTGTGCCAAGTTTGGTTTAATTCCATCATTGGTGGAGTTCAGAATGCTCTTTGAGTGTTGGTGAACTATAAATCCCAGCAACTACAACTCTCAAATGTCAAGGTCTGTTTTCCCCAAACTCCACCAGTTTTCACATTTGAGCATATTGAATATTCGTGTAGAGTTTGGTCCAGATCCATCATTGTTTGAGTCCACAGTGATCTCTGGATGTAGGTGAACTACAACTCCAAAACCAAAGGGCACTGCCCACCAAACCCTTCCAGTATTTCCTGTTGGTCATGGGAGAACTGTGTGCCAAGTTTGGCTCAATTCCATTGTTGGTGAGGTTGAGAATACTCTTTGATTGTAGGTGAACTATAAATCCCCCTCGATGGACTGTCACCTTGTGCTGAGGGGGCTTGCGCGTTCCGATGAACCTGTAGGCACAACAACTGGAGTCGTGCACTCCCAGGAGTGGCCGC